AAAAGTATGTATATATTAAACAACAATTTACCTTATAACACAATCCATTATATAGGTACCAGCCCGACCTGCAAGCTGGGGCGGGCGTCGTCGTCGGAAGTACTGGAAGGGTAAGATTTCAGGAATAATATTTGGCTCAGTTTCACTACATTATCACGTTATCCATATCTACGGCATGCCTAATACCTTAACTTTTGGGTTTTGCGTAACTAAGTCAACAAAAATGTTACATTGACCAAACTAATGGCTGCCGTACGTATCAGAAAAAATGCAACGTTTCGCCCCTTTGTAGTTTCAGTCAGCCAGACAAACAGATCAGAGTCAAGTCAAGGTACACATACTTTTCGGCGTTTTACACACATGGCTGAGAGGGTAGGTGCAGGTAGAAAGTTGCCATTTCCCCGTCCCTGGGTGCATATCTACGCAGTCCTTGCCCCTGTCACTGCCGGGCTGCCCCGTAGCCCAATTGGCAAAGTTGAACGGAGTACCGTCATACCAGTTGAATGTTCCTGAAAGCGTATTCAGGGTAAAGGGCTGTGTAAAGAAAATGTTGGCAAATGTGAACATCAAAAGAACCTATCAGAGAACCTATTCATTACATGAATCTGGAAAATTACAGGTGTAGAGCTGTTTGCTGTCGTTTCTGATTCCATCAGTATGTACTATTGTCTCTAAAGCAACCGTGTGTCCTTATGAACAATGCAATTGGCCTGATATTCCTTACAATCGTATTTCAGCAAGTTACGAGGAGTAATAATAATAATAAATTGATTGATCGAACCACTAACCATTCGGTTTCCTATAAAGTCCTGTCCAAAAGGGGCGATTATCAACCAGAGATTGTTGAAACAGTTTCACCAAGAAATCCGCCTCGTCCTGGCTGGTCACAGACACCAGGGTGGCCCCTCTCAGATAACACTGCATAATGGCGCTGTACCAGTCATTATAGTGGTTCTTGGTGGACAGGTGATAGCAGTGGGAGCTGTGGGGGTACCAATCGCCGTCAGGACAGGTGCCCGGGGGGTCAGGGACGGTCACCGGGGGTTTGGCTGTAACGGGAGTCAAATGGTCAGAGTAACAAGAGCGTGAGTAATGAATCGGTACAGTTTGCAAAAAATTCTCTAAAATATACTAATACATTTATACTATTTAAAAGATACAAAAACCAAGTAAAGGGTTCTTTCAAGTTGTGGATCAATGTACTTGTTTGGAAAAATGTCACAATGGTTATAGAAACTAATTGTTTACCATAACTGCTGTTTTCTTACATATTCCTCGAGGTTTAAAACTACAATCCGTCGCCTTTTTTAATTCTATGGAAATATTGTGATAAGAACATCGTTTGCCTACCTGATGTTCTCTTACATATTCCTTGAAATTTAAGACTACAATCGGTGGCCTTCCAATGTCCATCCGCCATTAACATAACGCACCTGGCGGTTCCATGCCTTGGAGGTTCGGAAGCTGCCCAGTTTACATAGTCCACTGGCCACTCATCCTCCCAGTAGTATTGAGACTAAGGAACAGAATAAAATATAACCATTATAAACAATGTGCAAAACGGGAAAAATTGGAATGAAGCACTCGATTGTAAAAATCTTATAGTTTCCATAGACTAAACGTGTCGCCTACAAGTCGTGACGTTTCTACTCTTCATCCAGGATTGACTCAGAGTATTCACTTATTTATTTATTTATTTATTTATTTATTTATTTATTTATTTATTTATTGGTAAACAGACAGATCGGTGTTATATACAGATATCAACAGACACTATGTAAAACAAACAAAAATATTTTTGTAAAATGGAAATAGTGTCATTACCCCAGTCCTCGTTAATCCTATCCACATAGACTGCTTGTTAAGTTCTTGAACTTTCAGAGTGAGAAATGCTTGTTCAAATCCATCTAGAACAGACACGAGGTGGTCCTGCTGACGTCGACACGTAGCATTGGCCTCCTCCCACGTCATGGCGGCCGTTACCTGGTAACAAGCGTAACCAAAAGACTCGTAACCAAGGGGACAGGGTGACGGGGACTGAGAGGGTTGTGGAGTCGGATAACTGGCATCTGAAATCAAAAAGCGCACAGTTTTGTTATTTTATTTATATGAGGTAACGACTAGGAGTCCTATCATAGATGTTTTTCTCTAGTTATTTATACATTGCATTTAAGGTCAACTTTAATGTAAATATGATGTTTATTTTGCGTAAACCGTTACATTTTGATATGCATATATATACATATGTATTTATACATAAACACACACTGGACAATAGAAGTGTCACCCCCTGAATCAGAGTAATCAAAGTTATAATGCCCAGTCTATTTATAATGTGACTAATGAGTATGAAACCGCTGTACCATGGAATTGTATTGTTGGTATTTTTGTGAAATTTGATGTTTTTAATAAAATGATACCAGGAGCATATCATTCCACGGTCGTTTATCTCCCCCAAAGTATTGGTTCAGAAGGGGTGACACTTCTATTGTCCAATGTGTGTACATGTTAATCTTTAGGTCAAATAAAACTAAATTGTAATTTTTCAAAAGACAAATATACCAATAAACAGACTGAAACTGGGCATCGGCTTTTGATTAATCATCAACACGGATATGTATACGTTTACCTTTCCATGTCTGACAGACGTAGCCCATCTTGATGACACACGGCCTGTCTTGCCATTTCCCCGCTGATATACCCCGCGTAGACACACTAACACACGGCTCCTAGGCAGGGATTGAATTTATAGGAATATGTAAGTTTTTTATCCACGCAGTTCAGGCCCCAGTTTCACAAAAAACTTTTAAGTCAGTTCCATGGCTTAGATGACTTGGATTTCCAAGAGAATGCTGTTACACTGCTCCTGATAGGGCAAGATGTGCCCATGTGACCACGTAACCTTGCTTATTAAGTACTTAGCCAGGGAACCTGGCGTAAGTTTTTTGTGAAAACGGGGTCAGGAGTGTTCGCTTTTTGTGAAATACATGTTATACACCGAAAAGTGGAAATCATGAGAACATGTGCGATCAAGAAAGTTAATAATTACATTTCTTTCACTGCTTTTAAACTTAAAAATTAAAGAATTAGGTCAAATTACTTCGCTCGTGGTCCCTAGCCCGCCATTTGGTTCACCATAGCCCCAGTTTACATAGTCTACATTGGTGTTGTCTATCCATTGAAATTTACGAAAGCGTAGTTTATGGAGACCGATCCAAAAATCCACCAGTTTGCCTTTCAACAATGTGGTCAGGAAAGCTGAATAAGAGGACGCCATGTATGTAATCTTATACGAGAGGTTTAGTCTTCTTTTCAAATTTTTACCCTTATCTTAAAGTCGTTAAGTAATAGGGACTATATGCCTTGCAAATCTATACCAATATGACAATCTAGTCAACTTGTATCTTTGCCATTGTCTATCAGCTGGAGAACACCTTATAAAAGCAGTAAGTTGTGTATTTATACGGATTAAGCTGAATAAAGGCCCTTATCGCAGTGCTGTCCCAGCAATATGATTTGGTTTAAATTACTTGATTATTTACTTTTGATTTAGATTTTCACTCCCAATATCATCGTCAATGTACTTTCACAGAAAAAAATTAGAAAATATGAATATATTGACGAAATCACTTTCTATTCGCATGTGTACCATATGCTGTAAAGTTTGACAATATTTTAAATACCTGCTTCCACAGGATTAGAAACACTAGCCAGAGTAAATGAACTATTCATAGCAGAGCATGTATCTCTGGCATCACCCCATGTCTTTAACTGGGTAGAATCTACGCTGTCTCCCATTACCAGGTAACACTTGTTCCCTAAAATGTGACCATATTTACTTATAATGCCCTTTCAAACAGACACGACATATGTAGTCTTTGACCAAGGAAATAAAGTTTTTTTAATTCAAATTCAAATTCAAATAACCTTGTAATGAAATTAAAGACACAGGCGACTGCTGTAAATATAATGCAGAAACACGAAAAAAGCAGATAAGTCAAGGTATTTCAACAAGTTAAGAGGATGTTTCTCCTCACATTATGTCATTGCAATCAATAGTCTACATATTTCGTTATACTTACCATATCCTCGGAACCCAGGAGGACAGTTCCCTGTGATGACAGGTGTTGGTGGTAACGTCACTGTGGTTCTACTGTCTTTGTGCTTCTTACAGATATACCGGTTAGGTTTTCCACAACTTTCATCCAGCCAATGGCCTTCGTGAACGACAAAATTATTTCCATTTACCGATATAATTGACACGGATTTTAAATACGGGTCATTATGAAAACCATTTACTTTACAGTCGTTTTGCAACAAATAACAATACAAATGTGTTGTATTGACCTAATCAATCTGGCATAATTATACCTTAGTGCTTACACGCATGATAATAAAACTATCGAGTATCACCTGATTTCACGCTAAACTCCACACATTTCTGCCCTCCAAAGTAGTCATTTGGCTCCGTCTTTGCCCAAGATATGAAATCTGTCACAGTTCCATCGGACCATCTACAAAAAGATGTTATATATGTCAGCTTAAGGGACAGTGTCACATTTATTCAAAACATGGGAAGCAGCTGGATTCTTATACTTAAAGGGATAATAACTCTTCATATGAGATCTATATTTCACAATAAAAACATTGTGAATAACTCATAGAGATATAATATATTCTGTTTTACCACAAAAACGGCAGTTATAGCTATTATTCTGATATCTGAGCTTGTCTTTAGACCACGTGACCTCCATTGATGGCTATACTCTGTTAAAATCTCTTAAGAGATTTTAACAAAAAACCAAACTTTTTAGAAAAAAACCAGGGACTAACTTTGAATGTAAAAATGGATTCATTAACCATTGGTAAGTATGGGAAAATTGTTGTTTACTCCAGGAAAATTCATTTTTTGGTTGAAACGAAGAGTTATTATCCCTTTAACATAACAATGTATGCGTGTAAGAACTGGTGAAATTATAGATGTACCCTTTGCTGTGATATATTTTTAAATGTGAAAACCATGGATAACCTACTTGTAGCTTTCCAGATCCAATTCATTCAGCCCAATCCAGAAGGTATCCGCATTCATCATTCTTGCCGCCTGAAAGATAGGATATGAACACACTTATCAACGTAGTAGCCTATCCAAACCATCTAGAACAGAACTAAAATACATTTAGTGCACTGTGGCAGTAAACATTCATCGACACAGAGACCGACGGAACACAAACTCTTTTCATTTGAATTGCTATAACGAAACAATGAAATATGAATACATCGGAATAAAGAAAAAGGTGACGACACCCATGTTAAAAGTAATTTTCAACGTGGGGGCCAAAGGGCGTCTACATGTATCTCTGACAGTCCAAAGACTATTTCACTGTGGCCAGCTCCCCTCCCCCCNCAAATGGGTATAAGATTTTTCTTTTCCCCCCCCCCCCCCCCCCCCCCCCCTTCAAGAACTAAACCATCTTCACCTGTTGAAGTATGAAGCTGTTCTCCATGACGTCATGAATGCTGGCGAGTTCCCCCGCCTGCTTCATACAGTACTCTCTGGCGTCATGCCACGTCATAGAGGCTCCGGAGGTGTACCCCTGGGTTATATAGTAGCAGTATTCTCTGAAGGCCACCCACTCTGGGTCTGAGCCGCACTGGGGCGCTGTAAGTTATTATTATTATTGTTGTTGTTTTTGTTGTTGTTGTTTTTTTTTTTTTTTTTTTTTTTTTTTTTTTTTTTTTTTTGTTATTGTTCGACTAATATATGCAAGGTGGATATGAATCGAATATCGGACAAGAGATTAAAGCATGACAACATGAATATATCTGCTATAAGTTAATAATACGGTTGCATGATCACAAGATCCATGATGCCTTATATCTACCTGTAAAGTACTTCACGGTATTAAGTTTTTGGCCAAATTTTATATCATGCAAACATAACACAGTAAGTCAACTTACCAGGTGTTGGTACAATTGTTGTACCTGTGGTATATATCGGTTCTCCTAAAACAGAAAAAAGAAACAACTCCATTGTTAGAATATATCACTTTATACATGGGGATCACTGAATATTAAGATTCTTTCAAATGTATTTGCTGTACGTATTTGCTAATGTATTTGCAAGATAAAGATCATTATCTTACCACCACGCCAAATGTTTTCTAATTCGATTTGTTTTTAATTCACTCATTCGCCTATTTATTTATTTATTTATTTATTTATTTTATATCAGGTAAAAAGATTACAACCACAGTAGTGTCTATTAAATTACAGACATTACCTTTCTTAAACTGGCATATGACGTTTCCTCTAACGTAACAGTTGACGTCAGACCACTTGCCGTCTTTCTTGTCCAGTTGGACACATTTCTCCTGACCATTGTGGTCATCCGGCTGTCCAGTGGACCAGGGAGTGAAGTCCAGGGCAGACTGGTCAGTCCAAACATAGCCGCTGTCCGGGCTGGGCTTGGACAGGCCGATCCAGAAGAATTGACTCCTTACAATAAAAAGATTTATAAAAAGCTACATACCAATTACATACCTATTATATATTTATTTATCATTATTATTATTTTTTTTTTTTTTGTCTCAACCAAACCATTAGTTTTTCACCACTTTTTTGCTCCGAATGGGTTAAATTACACTAAAGCAATCTATCCTAAATCAAGCTACATAACAACCAGTATATATATATTCAAGCTGACAAGACCGAATGAGGCTATCTAGACTTAATTATTTACACATGCATTCACATGAAAATGCGATGTTTTTAGTCTACAATCAAAAACCATGCAGTCCCTGTGACAACAATATTTTGCTCATAAAAGCTGGTTCACACCTTTAAATCTTTTTTTTTAATAATCTTCACTATGTATATGTTATAACGACTTGTATAGACAGCTGTACTGAGAAACTCCCGAGACCGCGCGAAAATGAAATCTTGCCTATAAAAGCTGTTAGTTCGTCATTTGGTGTGTCGAAAACCGGGAGATATGGAAACTATAATAAATGTTTATTTCTATTAGCCATTTTTGTCGGCAAATAGTGGTTTGTTATCGCTTTTTTACCTGTATTCAAATCTTCCTATTACAGCCATCAGCTGAGCTTCGCTGTGGAAACTGGCAAGGTCACCACCGAGATTTCGACAGTACTGGACAGCTTCGGACCACGTGCGAGCATATTTGTGGGAGAGATATACCCTCTGAAGGAAGAAAATATGTTTCATTTGGATTTCTAAAATTGTTTCTGAAACACGGAGCGTGTAAGTCGCTGAAAAGACCGCTATTAACAGAAAGTATGTTGTAGATATTATGTCAGTGAATAGACCATACAGAAAGGCCGCTTATGTACATACGAAAACTGAGATATAAAAAAAATTCGGCATCTCTGTACAGTGCCAGACGTACAAAAACCGGAACTTTCTTAACATGCGGAGAGCTATAGGCGAGTGTGCTCACCTTGTAACAATAACCGCCGTATTCAGTCCACGGGTATTCAGTGGGGCAAGTGTTAGATATAGTAGTCTGAGGAGTGGGCGTGGTCTTATAGTCTCCCCTGGGGTATTCACAGACATACCCCAGATGTTGAGAACACGGCCTATCATACCACTGTCCTGTAGAAGTGCCGGTCTGTGTCATCGTCACACACACGTGTTTTTCATTACCTAGATAAAAAAAAAACATTGGAACCCATGAATATACGGGAGCAGATTGTTCCACAGTAGGTACAAAGTTTCTTAACAGTGTCATTGCTTAGAAGGAGTAATTCTGCAAATTTAATCGCTTTATTTATTCTTTAATATATAAGAGATTGGCAGTGGAAATAATAAATGTTAATAATGAACTTTTTAAAGAGGGCCAAACATGTTAAGTGTATACAGTTATACTTCGCACAAATAAAAGAACGTAGGTCCAGTTTGATTTGTAGACACAAGGTTAGCCACACTGCAGATTACTTTTTGTATAAAATGACCGCACCTGTATGTCCACTGCCCCAGTTAGTGACCGAAACGCTGTCACCAGTTGACCATGTATAGACCCCGTTCTCATCGTTACTTAAGCCAATCCAGTATTCAGCGTCAGTGATGGTAGACCCTATATATGCTGATATGTACGCCGACTCCAGGCTAAAACAAAACGGCCAGTGAGTGTTTGTGGAGTATCAACATTTATTTGAATATGATTTTAGGTCGATATTTTGTTTCAGTTCGGTTATAATATGTACTTCCTTCGGTCTTATATGATTTTAATCAACAGAACACGAATTACAAGAATCTAAAAGATCCCAGGAGCACAATATACGAAGCCCCCAGTAGGCCAACTTACTGGTCGTTTATAGCAATCAGGTTACCACCGGAACTGTTGCACAGTCTATTAGCATCTGACCACGTTGTACCAGTATTTGATAAGGTATAACAGGAACCTTTATATGCAGCACGCACGTCCTGTAATAACAAAAACGTGAGAAACCTTCCTATGCATTTGTCTACAATTTCCAATTAAAAAACTGTTTATTTGAACTTGTTAAGGAGAACAAACATCTCTGATCAAATTTCTACTGATGGATTCACACCAATGCATGGAAACTTGCTACTCTAATATCTTTCTATTATTATCATTAGTTGCATTTGTAAATTTGAATTTAAAAAATCTTTTCACCTGCTGACAACCTTTAAACCCCACGACAGGTGGCGACACCATCTTAGCCGCTGGTTTCTTGCATATATATGGAAGCCACTGGTCACAAGCATTCCCATTCCACTTACCGACCTGTAAATAAAATCTTTAATTATCTAGAAACACACATCCATTGAAAAACGTTTTTTTTTTTATTTATTTATTTATCTAATTATTCATTTATTTATTTATTTATTTTTTGTCAGATATCCACCAAATTAAATGTAACATTAGAAAAAACAACCTTACAAATACAAGAAAAAAATTATCGTTTTTCCACGCTGGTGTTTCTGATTACAACAAAGTTATTCCATAAAGAACTATCAAGCATAGTCAGGTAACATACCCACGCATAAATGTTTAATGTTAGAAATATTACCTTGTTTTCTGGGGTATATAATATAAAGTAAAAAGGTTTCTGTAATACAATACATTATTAGCAGTAATACATCATTAGGTGTGGTTGTACATAGTATTTTGGCAAGGTTTTGGATATAATAAAATGATTTTATTAAAGCACAGTTTGGTAAACAAAAAAATATTCATGAAATATACGATATACGCATATAATGTTTAGTCTTACCTTGTCATCTGAGGTATACAGACTAACACAGTGCTCTCTACTATGTAGGTCAGGTTCATTGGCCGCCCAGTACGTAACGGTCACTGAGGAACCATCTGACCATTCATACTGGTTTGTATTCCTTCCAGCATTCAGTCCGGTCCAGAATTCACTGGGATCCACTACAAGATATTTAATTGGCTGTCACCTATATATCCCATCAGTAAATACCAGAAAAGAGGAATGTCTTTCTTCCTAAATGTAATGTAATCTTAAACCTTTCATAAATGAGTGAGGCTTATCTTTCTTCCTGTTTCGTTCTACATGTAGGCCCTACGAACGCGGTGTACATATATGAGATATTACTATTGTTATCGATATTTTCTTTGCTTACCATCTTCTTCGCCTGCCAAACTGGTCACAAAACTATTCTCGTTGGCAGTCAAAATGGACGCTAGATCTCCACCCATGCGTCGACAGGAACCCTTGGCCTGTGACCACGTGTTCTTGTCTTCAAACACTCTGTAGCAGTGGTCCCTGTACAGCGCCCAGTCTTCCTGACACGAAGGATACCCTTTGAAAGTAAAAATGTTAGTATGAATTAATACACCATTAGTATTAAATCACTCATCGCTCTTTATCAATCCAACCGTAGAGAAATCAAGTTTGCCTAATTGAAAATTTGCCTAATACAATCAGAAATAGACATATATATAATCATGATAAAATTTCATATTGTAAATACATATACTCATTAGCAATCCTGTGGTTTTGCTTACCCTAACATTTTTCCTATCAAACAAATAATGTACTTTAATATACGTCATTACCTGGAGAACTAGTTGTCACCGACGTTGAAGGTGGAGTGGTGCTTGAGATATTACCTGAAAGGGGGAACACCAATGGTAAAACGCTCTTCGGTGTTTCGAAATCAGTATTTAAATATTTTAATATATTAAAATATATGTGGATTTTCAGAACAGAATCTACGGTGGGAACTCTTTGAAAGTGTGGACATCAAACGGTTTATTGAAAACAAGATTATTCATGTCTTTTAAGACATAAAACGAAACTATTCAACATACATGACGATGGAATGTTTTGATCTTGTGTTGTATTGAAATATTGCTAGCATGAATGAACACATTGTAGAAACCCCTGCCAAATATGGTCTTTTAGAGATACCCTTTAAGGAAAATTCAATGCCGTCAGGTTACCAAACCATTGTCACTTTCAAAGAGGGTATCAACCAAGTTAGTAACAAATACCGGTACCAAACCTGGTCATTTTTATGTAGCAAATTGTAACTGCTTTTGAGCACACAGACATTTCATTTGAATAAAGCTGTTTATTCATTCTTAACGATAAACAGGTATGTCAATTGTCAGTTAAATCTTTTACCCTGCTTTTTGCAGACATAACCTCTTCTGCTCTGGCACTGGTCGTCTCTCCAAACCCCGGTAGAGGCGTCCATTTCCATACAAGAGGAACCCAAACCAGAACCTGATGAACCTGGAGGTGCATGTATTGACAAAGATTTTGTAGAATTAAATTTCCGAATGCGAGTTTAGAATATTAATAGTACTGTAACACAAAACATAACTTTACTGGTGTAAAATTGTTTCATTATTATGTAAAGTCTTACAGTGACTTATCCACAAAAATGGAGAGATAAAATGATATCTAGTAGATGAAGATGCCAGTCATAAAAAAGATGTATTTTGAACTTGTGTTTAGATTAAGACGACATGACATTAACAATACTTCATGGTTTTCCCTTCACCTGTGACCCAGTTTAGGAAAGAAAATGGTGCTCCATCATTCCAGGCCCACCCGGTATTGAGTGAAATGATACTACCGCCAAGCCAGAAAAACCTCATGTTTGGGATGGTTTGAATCCGAGCTGTTCAAATAGAACAAAAATATACTCACTATATAGAAATTAGTTCTTAAAAACCTTTACGATATCTGCTTAACATGCAATTAATGTTGACATTTTTTAATTCAGCATATTGACAAAAATGACATGTGAATGCAATTTACAATATTACGTAAGCATAGTCCAGATGTCCCTAAGTAATCTGGCCACATAAGCTAACAGCCATAAGATACAGAAACCTACACTTCCCACTCTACACTATATTCAAGCTGGGTGATGATATTAATCCCTTACGAAAATTTCCACAATAGAAAAAAGTGCACAAGATTAGACAGAGATATATCTGTGAATGTCAAGTGAAAAATCAATCCTTGAACCTGGCACAGCGTTTTAACTTCCCCACCTGAGATATACAATTGCTCCTCTAAACTAGTGATACTGGCCAGGTCTCCGCCATTGTGTTGACACTGTAGCTGGGCCTCTGTCCACGACAACGTGTCTGTGTTGAACTGATAACAGTGATCACTTAGAGGGTTGTCTTCCCAGAACAGTCCACATTTTACCGATACAGCAGCTGTAATGACAGTAGCAAACTACATGTACTTAGAAAAAAACGATAATAAACGACAGCGAAATACTAATATAAGTACTTATTTTTCCAAATGGTTCTCAAAGTATCTTGTCAGAAATTGTCGCAATGTATTTGGATCTCATCAAAATTTCATAGAATCGCTACGGTGCTTTGCACAGTACCATACTGCAGTGAAGTAACCCAAAATTAATGTGCAACAAATAATTCACTTACTTTCTGAAGTGGCTGGCCCCGATGTGGTGGATGGGCCTAGAATTGACAATAGTAGACAAAGAGTTCGTGATTGTATTGTAAAGGAGGATTTGTGAAGACTTGCATTAGGATAAATCACCAGCATCAAAATTCTATAATATTATTTTTTCAATGATTCTGTGAATCAAGTTCAAATTATAAATGTCCTGTTGTAATAGAACATCAAGAAATATGTCAGATGTGAAGCCATTAATGCGAATGGTCTTGGAAGACAACTCAGCTAGAATGGATCCAATCCTCAACATCTAAAGTAAATTCAAAATTATGCATAGAGCTTTTAAAGCCGCATACAATGAAAATTATGATGCCTGCTTATACACGTACCTATGACCTTTTCACAAATGTAAGCATTCAGTTGGTCACAGGGTACGTCGTCCCAGAGTCCCTGTGGATCTCCCGCCAGGATGATAGCGCAGTGTTCGCTGAGGCCGTCATGGAAGTCATCTGGCCTTTTGGGGGCCCAGTTCGCATACGGGGTCTGAATGAAAGTAGGATAATCTGAATAACTGGGTTTTAACTGTATGTGAGCATGGACTTTAAATGATTTGAACTATTTGTCTAAGTAAAGACCATTTATTTCAAATCAAATCTCAGGTGCAGTACACGGCTCGATATCACATGATCTAGCGAACCTGTTTCTGGTATTCCCAAACCCAATGGCCTTCACGTCGTCTGTCGGTAAATCCAAGCCACGACGCGGCTACCATTTTCTCTGCAAAGCAGTTATATCACTCTTTTTAAATACAAAATTAAAATCACAACTAAAATGCGATTTTTTTAACTCTAAATTACAGGCTCTGATGTCTTGCTGCTGTTAAATATCTTAATGGGTATAAATTTGCTCTTCGCTTAAGACTAATATCTGATCACCAAAACAGCGTCATTATATCCATCATCAGTTAAACTTAAATAGACTAAAACCATACTGTCGATGAAGGACATTTCTCTAGCGCTTTTCACTTCCACCATATGTGCTCCGAAATCCTGACATCTCTGGTTGGCCTGCAGCCATGTGACAGAGGCGCCGTTGTCAAAATAGTAGCAGGAGAAGCCATATGCTACCCAGCCTGGGTCACAGCTACCTTTCGCTAATACGAGAAAAGTGCGACAGTGACATCAGTACTTAAATGATAAATTCTGAATGTTTTCATTCTTTACCAGTCGACTTTCTGTGCAAAATAATAATAATAAAGTAATAAAATATCTTAATGACAGCGACTATAAAACTACAAAGTTTTAAAGATTAACGATATACACACCTGGAAGGACAGTCGGTGGATAAACGACGTTCTTGTCAGATATCTGGCAGATAAACGGCAGCTCCTGGAGACAGGTATCACTGGCCACCCACTTGCCATCAGCTGAAATTAAAATTGGGAAATGGGAAATCTCTTGACCACACCTCTTGTGTCTGAATCTATATTACCACCTCATTGTATGGTTCCAGAGACGACCAACATGTGAGTGATAGGTGGGTGAACTTACTGCTTTGTTTCTCAATGTGAGTGACAGATACCTATCTGGACCAATGGCTACTACGGCTTGTAACTTTTAACTATCCTAAAAAGGTGCTTTAATCAGGCAAAACGGATGTTAAAGCTAAAACATTCTGAAAAAGATCACTACATTGGATAATGATAAAGTCATTCACGTTTCTTTCTTTTTTTAAATATTGATTTTTCACAGCATGTTTTTTTTTCGGTCGTAAATGCAATCATGCTTATATCATAAATCTATAAAACACGATGAGATATATAAACATATACCTGCCAGCATTTGCACACATAGAGGCTTACTGCTGGTGACAGGTTGACCGGGAACCCAGTTGGAGAATGTACCTGTGGCACCTATGGCGGCTTCGTTACCCCAACGCAGTACCTTGGGGTTGAAACCAATATCTGAAGAAGAACAGCAAAAGTGTTTTGTAGTTGCTTAATTGTGATATGCCATACCCATAGTGACTTGTTTAAGGGAATTACATCAAAAGGCAAACGTTGAGTTAATGAATTGAATCCTCTTCTTGTATATGTGATATATATATTAAGGAATGCGCTTGATATTAATTTTATATATTTCTTAATAAACTTATAAAAAATAACCAATGAAGTGCCAATTTTCAGAGGCATTTTTCTCCTGACAATCATTCTGTGATGTCACATCATTTCATGCAAAGAAAAGACACAATATCATCTTGAAAGGCTTACCAGAGCCCCCTAACCATATGTTTAAACCATCAGAAATACCAATCATGTTCGTCTCTGACATAATGAAATCCTGAGTAGATCTTCTGCAAAATGTGATGAAAGAAACTGTCATTTAATACATATAACTATAAAAAGCTAATGATTTCACAAATTTGGTAAGTCGATCTGTCACATGGTTAAAAAAAATCCCAGGGGTCCAAAACTGGAGAAAAACCTTCAGGTCCAATCCAAAATCGCAAAGAATAAATATATCTATTTCAGATAATAGTAAGAATCACACCAATGGTCCCCACTTGAAATTATAATTTTGACTAGCTGAGCCATAGTTCTAAACCGTACTTAATGGCACCGTTCGCCCTCTAAAATACCATTTTTTCGGAGCCCTTAAGCGGCCCCGAACCCCACGCTAAAGGGGGGAAGGGTCGGCTTCGCATCCACAGACCCCCCCCCCTCCCCCCTTCGAATAATCTTGGATCCGCCCCTGTATTTTTGCTATGATTAGGCAAAGAAACAATATACCGCCTATCCTACAATCACGGTAATGCTATAGAATTAAAAACACTGGGTTAATATAACTGTAATGGTTTCGGTTGCTGTTACCTTTCCACTGTGACCATGTCTCCTCCTTGGCTCTTGCAGTAGTCCTTGGCGTCATACCAGGACAGTTTGACGTTAACGTTGAACTGGTAACACGTGCCGTTATGAGACTGCCAACCAGTGGCACAAGTACCTGCCGAAGATAATTATCGAAATTTGATCACTGATATTAAGCAACCTTTAAGTATTGTTATCACAAGCAGATAATGAGCTGATCAACATCGGTGTTTTGTATATAGTGTATTGATCACATCTTATTAGGCATGCTAGTGGTGAAATTTCTGAGAAACTGGCATCTATATTGAGATTCTTTCCTGACTCTGCAGTGTATTTCAATTGTTTAAATTAACTCACCTTCCTTTTTACTGCACATAAACGATCGTCGTTTTGTACATTCGTTGGCAACCCAAGATTTTCTTGACTCCTCGGCAGTAGGGACCGTCTCCACACAAATGTCGTTTCCTGACATCCTGTAACACAATATTATATCAAAATGTTAGAAATGGTTCACCTTTTTTCTACGCCCCCTAGTATTTTTCAAGTGAGGTCAACTCAATAATATTGCCTCAATAATCACAGCAAAGAGAGCATGGCCCGATATTTTAAAATAGAAGGGTTGAGGACAGGCGTTTGGAATTTCAGGTTCCCAACATCAGAATTTAAGTTGTTGCATTCTTACGTGGGAGGATCTGGGCGCACTCCGCCAGCCCAAAACTCTGTCCTGGACATCTGGTCTTTGCTGGGAGATAATACCGTCATGTTATTCTTCTTCCAGACAGTGCCATTCTGATAATATAAAGGAAGTGTCTTTTTTAGTTTTAAGCGTCATTTTATTCTTTTGCATTAAGAAATAACCTTAAACATAAGTTTTGAAAAGACAAGAATTTTGCAACAATCGAAAATCGATCGATAAATGATAAATAGGATTATTTTGTAAAAGGAAGGGTCTGTAGAGAGAGAGAGAGGGGGGGGGAGAGAGAAGGGGGGGGAGGGAAACTGACCCCGTTATTAGATGACGAATACCCCAGCCAGATAGACTTGTCATGATATTTCGACACGTCGTACATATACTGCTGCTGAGCCTCGCTATCGACCGTTGCCAGGTCTGCTCCATAGTAACCACAGTAACCACTGAAATGTATCAATATATCCCCATAAAATTCCTGAATAAATCATGCAATATAATATCAATATTAAAACACAACGATCAAAATACAAGTTTACCCTTTTTTAATTCACTGAATTTCTGCGCATGCATGTACCTAACGTTCAACGTACCTTGCAGATTTCCAATCTTTTTCAGAGTCAAAGAATTTGAAACAAGAATCGTCGACCTGTTGCCAGCTTGCTGGACAGTTATCGACTACAGCTGGAAGAAAGGCGAAGGAATGTTAACATCTCTGATAAGAAATGACACCCAAGATTGTGACATGTGACGAAACATCTGAATTTATCACCACCGTAATGCGGAGAAAAAACTTGTACTGACAAGACCTTTGTGCAGGTCAACCCTATTAGGAGCCATTTTTGGAATAGAACAAATTCTGATATAAAATGAAAACTACGCTTTCCTTTATAAGGACATTTTGAAAAGGCATATATTGACATAGAATAATGTTTACCTTTTGGTCTTTTACATATGTAGGGGTGAGAGACAGAGCAACTGCTTGCACTCATCTTTCCCATATTTGGCGACGCCCTTTTGGTCCATAAAGTCGCGCAGTTTTGAACACCGCTATCAGCCGGCTCAAGATTCCCCCAGTCACTGAAAAACATATATAAACGTGACCTTGGTTCGATTAGAAAGTTGATGCAAAATTCATCCACCTGCCAAACTGTTTAATATGTACATTGTTTAACCAATGAAAAAATGCGTTTCAAGCAAGGTGCTCTTTAAATTAAAGCAAATTCGTTAATTATGAAAACATATTACCATGTGGGAAAATGCATTTCAATAACATTTACCCAATTCTGAATTTTTATATCACTTATGCATTTACTCATTCAAGTATTTGCTACTTTTAAGTTAAAACTTACATAAGATCAGACTCGGCCTTCTTCCCTGAGACCCATTTCCACCCACCCCCAGCGGTGACGTCAGCCAGTCCAGTGACGTCACTGGTCAGTCCCACCCACCACGTGCGACTATAGGGGTCAACCTGGGTGATACGCTCAGCCGTAGACACCAGGAAACGCTGAAATCAGTGCATTTTTATTAGCTTTCTTCAGCCAACTAGTTATATTAAATTTCTTTTAACAGTGAAAAGAACTAGCAATATATAATGTAGTGCTTCTGTTGGAATGAATACTAAATACTGCATCCTCATACAAAAAAGTGGTTTGACATTTTTAGAATCAATAAGAAGGCTGCAGTTAATCAGGTAGCAGTGGAGCTTTGAGTAAAACCTTAAAATGTAATGTCTCTTGGTTATTACAGTCACTATTAAGAGGTTGCTTATTTCACTCAGCATCAAAAATCTTCTGTTATTCAATATTCATTACATTTAACCTGATACTAAATTTCCAAAAAAATACACCTTCATTGATGTTCAAAACATCTGACTGAATACCTACCCGTTCCTCCTGGCTGTCATACCAGGCCAGATCTCCCAGTCTCGCCTGGCACCACTCCCTGTACCTACCCGTTCCTCCTGGCTGTCATACCAGGCCAGATCTCCCAGTCTCGCCTGGCACCATTCCCTGTACCTACCCGTTCCTCCTGGCTGTCATACCAGGCCAGATCTCCCAGCCTCGCCTGGCACCACTCCCTGGCCTCCCTCCATGGCTTCTGGGTGTTATAGTTACTGAACTGGAAGCAGTACTCACTGACTGGACTGTCCAGCCATTCTTCTGGACATAACTGACCAAGGACTGGAATAACCACAATATTTTAGTTACCCCTGCTGTAGTAGCTCTTTAATAGATATAAAGAAAGTTTGAATCAAGCGTTTGTTCCTTATGGTAGGCTTGAGAGATATATTTCTGTGAATATCCGTGTATTCATAAAGGACGTAATGTGTAATACGCCATTAGTGCAAACCCCCATAGAAATGAAAGACAATGCATATAACCGTTAACTCGGCTAAAACCAAGCACAGAACTAAACGGTCTGATAAAATACATTTACTCAGAAATATTACATTCGGCTTTTGCAAAATAAAAAATTTAAGCCTCCAGGACAACTCGTTAATTGAAACGGTTCGTGCCAAAATACGGTTTCCTTCCTTTTAGCAACATTTTAATGGTTGTACTCACCAGGCGTCAAAAGAAACACAGCTGTAGAGAGGCGTGACAGGAATAAACCGCCATACATTTTCAATAGCATGAAATACTGAGTTACTGAGACAATTAAATTGTTGGTATCGGTGCAGAGATCGATTATTAATAGCCCTAGGTGTGATGAGTTCAACAGATAGTATATCAAGGTCAATCAAATACCAAACCCACAACGTTGGTTAATCTGGCGATTTTGTATTGTGCGTGATATACGCTTATCATTTGCATTATTCAAGCCTATCTTGCACAGGACGCATTCATAGCAAGATGATTGACTAAAAGATCAGCGGATCAAATATAGCCCATCCACTTAAAATTTGCCTCATAATCCCCTAACAGACACTGCATAGATTCCCTGCGGGGATTACGCTGTAATAAGGTCCGCGGATAAACTTTGGTTTTGAATGCGGCTATATTTTACAGGCTCAGTAAATGGCACCCTGGGTTTAGGGATACTGTCCCCAATCAGGTGCTTTCACATTTTTACATTACAGACTACTAGGGCACTTGTTAATATGGATCAAGATTTAAACACTTCGTAGACTGTTTATGTTAAATGTCTGTAAGGCATCGTGATGACCTGCGGTATTTCGTCAACCAAATATTATTAACTACCGTATTATCCGTAAACCTCTGTCGTTTCTGGAAATGTCAGAAGCATGCTGATGATATAGAGCTCGAGGTTATAGCGACATTCCTCTAAGGTACTCAGGGTATGTGAATGACCAACGAAGGGATATTTTAGAACAATTTCACTTTATATTTCTAGATTATTTTTATTCAGAAACTCTTGATTTTTAAAACCAAAAGTTTTACAAAGATGAGGAAGTAGAAAGAAAAACAAAAATTGATTTCGAAACGCTTGGCTAAATCGAGGTTCACAATACCCATGTTCAAGCTCATGGTTTCGATACGCGTTTTGCAACACGTTTGACAGCAAAAAGACGCTGTTGAAGTGCACCGACAACACTGTAACTCAGTCACAACATATATCAATGTGTTCTAATAGTTCTAGATATCGGCGTTCGTCATACTCCCGCCAACACTTTGGGCAACGCAGACGACCATCATGGCTCGTGCTGAAATTGTCTTCTGGACGAATGTCACTTGACTGATTATTAACTCCACACGCCTCTTCCTCATCAGCGCAATTGTTTCGGGTTCCTCTATCAGTTCTATTTCTGTTCTGAAAGACGCAAGAATATATTTGTATTTTTTCTTTCAAGCCATGACCATGAACCGAATGAGTAATATGCCACATATTTTATCAATTAAGATCAGTGTCATTTCTTCCTGGTACATAGACCTCGTTGCAAGTCAGTGTGACGTTCGCTTTGTTTTTTAATGCATTTATTTCTCCTTATTATTATTATTATTATTATTATTATTATTATTATTACATTACCATAGACAGGCATAGTCATAATAAGCAGAACAGAGTTTTCACACATCTTAAACCATTCTCTGACAACAGGGTGCGCTAGTAGTCTGTTACAAAATTACTGTCATACTTTTATTATATATCCTATATTATTAGCCCCTGCTATCAGAGGGGTACCTAAATACAAAGGCTATAACATGAAAAGTAGACTCGTGATTTCCTTTTATTAGCATANCTGTGAATATCCGTGAGAAATTTCCAGTCTACCCCCCCCCCCCCCCCCCCATCCCAGGGCCAATAATCTTATTTCACTTATCAGCATTTTGCGCTTTGGGGAATATTCATCAGTGCCACATAGATATATGCGCCTTGCCATCATGCCATTGTCGTCTTTATTAAATCATCACTTTTTTATCTCTCTCTCTCTCTCTCTCTCTCTCTCTCTCTCTCAGTGCGATGTCATGCCTTTAGTGCCACAGATTACTGGACTCTAACTTTATAAGGTATTAATAAATGGGGGTTTACTTAGTATTTATCTACTTATTATTGTCACGCTGCTAACATAGCCTCAAATCGGTGGCGATCATATTTTATACTGAATGTTTTAACTACCACTTGACTAGGCACAAGTTCACTGATAATGGCAATTTTTTTTGTTTAAAAAACTCATTCAATATTTCTCAGCCAATGCAAATATGCTTCTTGTAGATAATATGTGAATGGTCTGTAAGGTAAAACATCGAATATTGGAAAGTTGTTCTTGATTTTTTTTCTTACACTTCAAACAAACGTATCTGTCAACGCAAGGCACGGTACTAAGCTGCCTCTGCCATCATTGCTATAGTTAAGATGTAATTTGTGAGGAAGGTTTGTATTCATAAAGGACGTAATGTGTAATACGCCATTAGTGCAAACCCCCATAGAAATGAAAGACAATGCATATAACCGTTAACTCGGCTAAAACCAAGCACAGAACTAAACGGTCTGATAAAATACATTTACTCAGAAATATTACATTCGGCTTTTGCAAAATAAAAAATTAAAGCCTCCATGACAACTCGTTAATTGAAACGGTTCGTGCCAAAATACGGTTTCCTTCCTTTTAGCAACATTTTAACGGTTGTACTCACCAGGCGTCAAAAGAAACACAGCTGTACAGAGGCGTGACAGGAATAAACCGCCATACATTTTCAATAGGATGAAATACTGAGTTATTCAGACAATTAAATTGTTGGTATCGGTGTAGAGATCGATTATTTATAGTCCTAGGTGTGATGAGTTCAACAGATAGTATATCAAGGTCAATCAAATACCAAACCCACAACGTTGGTTAATCTGGCGATTTTATATTGTGCGTGATATACGCTTATCATTTGCATTATTCAAGCCTATCTGCCACAGGACGCATTCAGAGCAAGATGATTGACTAAAAGATCAGCGGATCAAATATAGCCCATCCACTTAAAATTTGCCTCACAACCCCCCCCCCCCCCCCCCCCCAACAGATTCACTGCATATATTCCCTGCGGGAATTACGCGGTAAGATAAGGTCCGCGGATAAACTTTGGTTTTGAATGCGGCTATATTTTATAGGCTCAATAAAGGCACCCTCGGTTTAGGGATACTGTCCCCACTACTTGGGCACTGGTTAGTATGGATCAAGATTTAAACACTTCGTACAATGTCTATGTTAAAATGTCTGTCTGCAGTATTTCGCCAACAAAACATTATTATATTAACTACGCTCGAGGTTAGCGTCCATTTCTTTCTGGAACTCAGGGTATGTGAAAGGTCAACAAAGGAACACATTTTATTTTTTATAGATCATTAATTCCCAATTCTTGATTTTAAGAACAAAAAGAAATATCGTTTTACAAAGATGGGGAAGTAGAAAAAACAAAAATTGATTTTAGAACACTTGACTTAATCGAAGATATATCAACTTGGATTTATATACGCCTAATTACCTCCGCCGAGGAGGTTATGTTTTCACCCCTGTTTGTCTTTCTGTCTTTCTGTCTGTCTGTCTGTCTGTTTGTCATCAACATAACTCAAAAAGTTATGGATGAATTTCGATGGAATTTTCAGGGTAGGTCAGCTATGGGTTAACTTAGCAGTGATTAGTTTTTGGTGGTGATCCGGATCAATAACCAATCAATAATCAGTCAATAATCAAAAATTTAGGGGTGAAACGGCATTTGGTGGATTCACTGCTGCCTTGGCGGAGGTCTGCGCTCTCGGAGTGCTTTTTCTAGTTTTAAAAAGCTCATGATTTTGGTTGGTTGTCTCCACGGTACGCGTTTTGCGAATAGTTGCTGCACCGACAACACTATAACTCAGTCACAACATATGTCGATATGTTCTAACAGTTCTAGATATCGGCGTTCGTCATACTCCCGCCAACACTTTGGGCAACGCAGACGACCATCATGGCTCGTGCTGAAATTGTCTTCTGGACGACTGTCACTTGACTGATTATTAACTCCACACGCCTCTTCCTCATCAGCGCAATTGTTTCGGGTTCCTCTATCGGTTCTATTTCTGTTCTGAAAGACGCAAGAATATATTTGTATTTTTTCTTTCAAGCCATGACCATGAACCGAATGAGTAATATGCCACATATTTTATCAATTAAGATCAGTGTCATTTCTTCCTGGTACATAGACCTCGTTGCAAGTCAGTGTGACGTTCGCTTTGTTTTTTAATGCATTTATTTCTCTTTATTATTATTATTATTATTATTATTACATTACCATAGACAGGCATGGTCATAATAAGCAGAACAGAGTTTTCACACATCTTAAACCATTCTCTGACAACAGGGTGCGCTAGTAGTCTGTTACAAAATTACTGTCATACTTTTATTATATATCCTATATTATAAGCCCCTGCTATCAGAGGGGTACCTAAATACAAAGTCTATAACATGAAAAGTAGACTCGTGATTTCCTTTTATTAGCACAGAATCCATAAACCCCACCTGACGTTGTGCAGATTCCTCGACTGGGTTCCGATAGGTGTCGCTTCCGTCATCTCCAATCCCGTCATCATCTCTATTACCATCCATGGTCAGACTACCAAGACTAAGAAGGTCTGATCCATGTCCTAAGGCGGGGGAATTTTCAGCAGCGCAATTTAGTGGTTTTGCCTAAAGCAATAACAAGTAGCATAAATATTTGTGTATGTTTGCGCCATATCGGATGTGTATACATCGTTAAAGGCAATACTAAATATTTAAGCGGTGACTGCATGATGAGATTGTCTTTAAGGCGTGCTTGGCGAATTTTTATTTCGCCATGAATGAAATTTTGTGATTGATTTACATCATTTCACTTGAATATATCGTGTAAAACCGTCTTTACCGCATTAACTGTACAAAAACTATCGATATTCGATCCTGCAGATATTTTACAATGGTCAGGATAAAAATCAATTTCCAACATGTATAGAAAAAATTGATCTGGAAACTTTTCTTGACACGTTTTGAGCAGTGCAAAAGGTGAAATAGGCACTGTACGCTAACAGAAAAAAGTGAGCATGATGAAAGATGTTTTTTATTCGCGACAGTAATTCCCTTTGCCTTTTAGACATATTTGGGCGTAGAATAATCCGAAAACTATCAAAAGCTACCTGTGATCTATGCACGGACTGTTCCTCCAGCAGCCTCTGAACTTCTCTTCTGGCGATTTCCTTTTCCAATTTCTCTTCTTGAAAATCTTCAGAGAACTGACGGACTTGCACTTGCAGTAAGGAAACCTGCTCTTTGTAGTGTTCTGTTTCGTGTTGTTGGTATTGGAGAAGATTTTTGCAGTCTTTATAAAGTTTTTCAAGCTGAAAGGTTTACCAAAAATAGCAAAAACTACACACGAGCAATGATTTCAGAAAACTGCACCATTTAACTGAAAAAAATAATATTTCAAACGCCTTGCACTGAATTTCACTTGCTATTTGTGACTAAATTACGTAAGTAGATAAAGCTTTCCGTTTTGGATACATGCTATACCTCTTTCTTTTCAGTTTTTTCTTGAGCCAACTGAATTTCTAGAGCATGTATTTGCTTTAAATGATCGCGTACGTATTCTTCTCTCGTCTTGTTGTATTCGGCCCATTGTTTGTTTGCGTGTTTGAGCTGAAAGAATAATCGATTGTGATTACTTCAATGTGCATATATGTACATAAAAAAGGCTGAGAGACACCAAGGCTTTAGCAAGGGAAAGGGACACAGTCTCTAAACAAACTAGTATTTTAATCACAACCATCGACACATACAAATGAAAATGACAAGCATTACAATAACCGGAAAATAACTATTTCATTTTCAGAGTAATAACATAATTTAACTAAATATACAACTAAAGTATTAAACAGTGTTTACCTGTCCAATTTCTAACTTCAATTTTTTATCACTCTGAAAGACATAAAAAGCGACGATATGAATATGCATTTTAAGCTTAAGATAGGAAATTAAAGTAATAAAATTCGGAAAATGAAGAAAATGCCCTTTCTCAATAACACACAGGAAATATTTATCTAATTTATCTATAAAACAATAACGCAACGAACCGACATTGCCATAGATACCACTGAACTTCAGGTTAAAATTTATTTTTTTCCCTCTAATATGATATCAAACTGGATGAATCAGGATATTCATTCTCTCCACGTACCTCAATCTTTGACTGTAAAAACAGAACTTTACTTTGAAGGCGATATGTCAGTCTTTGTAGTTTCCCTATTGTTTCCACATGTTCTTTACTACTGTTGTCCTGTTGCGTAGTTAGACAATGGTTTACGATTGCATTGGATTCTTTCATCTGGCCATGTTCCATCCCAGTCAAGCTTAAATCATCAGACATTTCACGACGATCCGTTTCAAAACTTTTCTTAGCATTGTCAGTAGTACTTTCGGTGTTGTCGATGATGTCTTTTTGGTGTGCCGTTTGATGTTCCATTACGCCATTATCGTTATGCCGGCCATTTTGTTTCCTTGCACCTCTTTCTTCATCATTGTGGCCTGAAGGTAATGTTTGGTTATTTGAATGAGTCACATCATTTTTGTGAACGTAATTGCCACAACTGCTACTTTGATCCCCGCCGCCGCCACCAATGATCTCTTTCTTACCACAGACGTCTCTTTTATTAACACTCTCCTTCACGTATCCATCCGTGTTAGCACCACGCGTCTGGACGGTGCCATTGCAAGAAGAAAGTTCATTTTGCGTTTCTGTTATCAAAACGGAATTTTCATTCTGATCACTAGAGCTGTCGGTGATTGATGAAGCTTCTCTGTAATGTTCACTTACTTCAACCAATGAGCTTGCAGTTTTTGAGGTGGGGTGCTCCACTTTTCCAGTTACCTCGGGGTTTTTGTTTCCCAGAGAAGTGTTCGCATTGACCTCTATTGCACATTCAGAACTTAAAGAATTAGACATGGACGGCTTGTTACTCTCAGCAAAAACGTCATCGTTTTTCCTCACTCCGTGTGTAACCTCGAGGACAGGCAAGGATTTTGTAACTATCTCGTCCAGGTTCCGTTCGAAGGACTCTACTTCAATTAACCTATGTCCAGTAGGTATGGATACTGGTTGGCAGTCACCTTTCCCAAATTCCCGAAGGTCTGGAACTTTTGCATGTTGCACAACTGCACTGGAATCAACAGCCATATTGGTATACACCTTATTCCTGAGAACTAATTAGGTGCTGAAACTTTATATTCGATCTCCAGTTGCCGTTATTCTGCAAAGAAGCAAAAATACACTTGAACCCAAAAATATACACTGAGCCTCTGGCGGTATTTGAAACTAGCCAATAATAAGCCCATATGAACTGAGAAAATTATCCACATCACGCCCCCTTTTAAGATAATTATTCATGAACCCCAATTGCATCATCTAGCCTATATTGAGGAGTGCTGGGAAATGTTTGGTTTCGCTTTCGATTCATGTCATCCAAAAGCAATACGTGCTGTCTTTGTTTTACTCTTGCCAATGTTATTTCTAGATAACATGTCCAAAGGCACGCATGATTTTTTTTCAGTAAAATAATCACTATATCATGTAAAATTGCATTTGTATATATTGTGCTAAATGGTATACCTTTCGCGTTTGAAAATGTACCGTTAATTTCCTTTTCCTAAGTGTGTACATATTTTTCAGAGCTTCTTATGTTTCCCAATTTAGACCTTCTTTAAAGCGATAAATCACCTCAAATAAATATACTTGATGTCGACATACGGTATATATCCTTTTGATAAGAACAGGACCATTAAGAACTAAATTGATCTTTTATCAAAAATGGTATGAAACAATGAATTCATGTGCAGGGACGGATCGAGTAATGAGTACGCAGGGAAAAATCAATTTGTTTTTCAAAGAAATGTAGATTTGGAGGGATAATCCTGGATAAAATACATTTAAAATACAAGGAATGCAACGTTCTGCTAAGCCTCGGGTACGCGATAAAGGTGGATGAAAGCTTAGGCTAAGCAAAAGGATAGATTGTGAGGTTTTTTTAGCAAAGCTGGTCGATATTTAGTTTACGTCAGGGAAATCCATTAATGAAATACTTTGCACTAGAATTCCGTATACAGTCACTTTAATTATCACTAATTAAACTGCACTCAATATGTTGCCGTACTAGAATATAAAACTGCTACGCCTATAGCAATATTTTATCGCTGTATAGCATGCTCAGGTGCTAGGTCTTAGCATTCTTTTATATTGTAGAATGATTCATGGAGCTAGGTTACTAACGATCTAGAACGTGCACAAATATACAGTAGTTAATGACACGTACAGTATTCTTGGTTTTTGCACCTGCTCAGGATGTTTGAAGTTGTTGACGTGGTTGAAAAATTTGGGGTGCCTCCAGCCTGCATGCGGTATGACATTAACACATTTTGATATTTAAAAAATATGCTAAGATAACCCGGTTATGACATGAGAGAAACACGCCCCCGACACAGACGGGAACGGGACTAATTTTTGATTGTAAAAAGGCCATTACTTGTTGCACAAGGGTATCGATCACTGATCGATGAATGGTAGAAAAACACGTTGCGTGGACGCCTGATACATAGGCCTATAGTCTAAAATTTCCAATGTTCTCAGAAAATCGCCAGCGTATCTTTATTCTACACAACGCTATGATGAAGCGTCTTAATCTGGTTGCATTCAGCAAAAGTCCACGCAGCGTTTGTTAGATCGACCTACGCAGACCGATAGTCCCATTGTGAATGAGCACTTAGACCACAATTTCCGGTGTATGTATGTCTTTTCCACCCTGAGCTTCAGAGATAACTTGACACTAACCTCTAGTCTCAAGTTATCTCTGAAGCTCAGGGTGGTCTTTTCCTACCTGGAACTTCTGTTATCGGCCTACAGCTATTCTAAATAAGAGCTCCCCACAAGAGTCAGATATCATGTTTTGAGAACCCTTGATGCCCAGTTTGAAGACCAAATAAGTTTTCTATTATATGTATTAAGTCTGCGTGGTTGCTTGAATTAATTAGTAAACACTCCCGTCACATGTATGTCAGTGCAATTGTCACCATGTAATATACTTCGCAGGCCTATTTATAAAATAACTGCTTTATATTTGACTTAGTTAGATCTATGCCTGTCATTGATTATTTGAAATTTTGTATTCAATTCTTTTCACCATCTAAGACATAAAGTTATATGTACCTACGTGTAAAATGTAGTTTTTCTCCTGACCTGCATTCCCCGCATCTGTTTCACGTCACGTGGCCATGCACGTTGCAGGGAAATCCCCGTCAACAAACTATCGTCCTGCAGACCTTCCGGGTCAACGCGTTAAATAGAGTGACGTCAAAGAAAATAGGCAGTTTAGATAGCACACGAACGAAACGTAGTGCCTCGATATGAAACCAGACAACTTTTGTGTTTTTAATCTCCAAATACGAAAAAAAATCTATTAAGCTAATAAATAGGCTAACGTTAAAAACGTATTATATCGTTTGTTTTATATTAATAATTATTTAAGATCATAATAATAAACAAGTCGCATTTCGATGTACTCCATGCTATAAGCTTTATATAAAAATAGCAATTTTTACGAGATTACAAACTGTATCGCATTGTTTGGTTCCATTGCCTCGCTTTCAAAAATTAGAACAGGCGCTCCAAAATCGTAAAACGAAGTTAAAAATTTTATATTGGCCGAGTTCCCCCACTGTTAAGAATATCCTCGCAGCATTATCTGCAATTAACCTTTCTACGATCTTTAGTGTGTTTTGCAATATAATTTACAATCCTCCAGATGAAGAATTTTATTAATCAAGAGTGGGGGAGGTGTGAAAATCCCCATTGGGGCCACATATAACACTATAAATACAATGGGAATCCCCTTAAAATGAAGGTAAAATAAATGCTTTTCTAAGGAATTCAGACGGATTTACTTTTTACAACATAAAATCAATAGAACATTTCTAATATAAACTTTCAAAAAGACACCAGAGAGCTTATGAAATAAAATCAACCAGACGGTAAACACCGGCAGGCTTTGTCAATTTCACCAACTTGTTCATTTCAAACAGCGCACTTTTCGCACATGCGCAGTTGTTTGAAGCCTGTGCTAGTTTAGATAGCACAGGTTTCAAACGACTGCGCATGCTAGTTTAGATAGTTTAGATATTTTACGTAAAATGGTCAAAGCAGTTTAAGAGTGCAAGTTTTTGATATTAAAACGTATTAACAAAGTTCAAAGTGAAGGCCATATATAGGTTCAATGTGACACGAAGCATCAGCGGGAATATATACCTTTAACATTTGTTTTAAACTTGAAAAGGGATCAAAAATTGATTAAGAAAAATGCGCTCATTAGTAAAATCATTATGCCATTATTGGAGAGGGGCATCTGTACTATCCAAAATCTCTCTCTTTCACTCTCTCTCTCTCTCTCTCTCTCTCTCTTCGTGCAACGCTCACCCACACCGATCACAGACTATCATTTCCAAAGCAGCCCACTGGTGTGGTTTTTATGGTTTTTAGATGCGACATCTTTGCTGTTGCACAAACATCCAAAATAAAACAAATATGTCCATGTACAATATTTCTTACGAAAAGTAGTGCAACACGACTTACACCATTGCAACACCTCGTCATACAGCACTGCTTCTCTGAAAACATTGCACTTGGCATCGGCTTTACCTTTCAAAAAATACGTTGTATTGAAATTTCTTTTCTTTCAAAGTCGACGCCACTGAAAATCATGAGTCTTTCGGCGCTCTAAAATTTAAGGACGGCAATTTATTTGATCAGCCTTCGGATCGATGCTTTTAACTGTGGATCCCACTCAGAGCATCATAACTATGGTCCAGGCATATTGAAAAGACCCGTTTTTAGCTCAAATCGTCTACTTAACTGTTTGTTGCGGTTTACGTAAGGCTCACAGGGCTAGGCCTGGCTGCCTCTAATAAATTTGTAGTCGACTTTCGGGAACCTAGTAAAGAAACTCAAGTGAACTCAACAAAATACAACGACCCCAGTATTGGGAGCATGCTGTATTTTGAGCAGGTCACAATTTTAAAAAGCCTCGCATTAATATTAAGCACATCGCATGTTTTAATTGATCCTATATATGACATATCGAATATAAACAAATTCTTTTTAATTTGTAAATCTTGATAAATGGTGCTCATGAGTAAATGGGTGGGTGACAATTTCTTTGTTACCGTGGCCTCACATTGGGAAAACAGCTGGATGAAAGATGGAGGAAATTTAAATTTTTCGTGTCCTATAATATACGGCAGCAAGCACGGTGTATAAAAGACACATTCAATACATTAATGTGATATCTTTATTTCCAAGTACAGATCGAACGCTTCTTTAATAAAAACAAATTACACCAACAGTGAGGACGGAAAAAGGATATGAGACATTAAATGGAATGTCAACAGAGACGTGTCTCGACGCAGATTTCATTATTTCTTCTTCGTTAAACCACAAAGCAGTCTAGACATTTATTATCGTATCTTGGGGAGAAAGGTGACACATCCTTTATAAAAATATCACAAATCATTGGCAGTCATATCATATGAATCACTCACTAATGAGTCTTTGGGAAAGAGCGGTTAACGCCTATTTGTACATAAATATCATGCCATATTTGGCTCTGTTATCCTAGTTTGTCAAAAGTAAAGATGCCAGAAGCACCGTCTCAGAGAAAGAAATGAATGACGTTCTTAACTTGTTTTAAAAATACATAGACATTGTTTTTTTTTAAGTCTAAAAAAAGACGTAGACTCCATCTTTGGTCTGTCAGAGAACAGTGTTTAAGAAGAGACAGGCGTGACTCACTAGCTTTTCCACATTGAAGTTTAAGTTGCGGTCTACCCGGGTGGTGCAGACCCATTCCACAAAGAGCGATATACGTTAGCGATACTTCAAGAGAATGACAACTTGTTGGTTTTTATCAAAACAGCCAGACTATTCCATCGGAGGCAGAAAAGCAAAGTAAATGACTGTTCACTTGATCGACTGTTTTGTTTGTTTGTTTGTTTGTTTGTTTGTTTGTTTAATTAACTGCGTCGCATGCTTTTGCTAAAATATTACCAATTGCCTTCTGCTAGCAAACAGTAAAAATAAATATCTATTCACCTATTACGTAAGAGTTACCTAAATAAAACTAGCGGAGAACTTAAGAAAGGGAGTAAACCTCCTGTAACGCAACTTCATTACGATCTCTCAAAATGTACCGATAGTTGTATTGCAAAAATATACCGCTTAATGTGGAGTGAGTCCAGGTTATAGTATAGTAACACTACTTCCTTGCATTTTGCATCCCTGCACTTCCTAGCTGATAGGGACAGCACCTTCGTTGTATTTTGCCTGGGAACTCTAGCCTTCAAGAGCTTTTTATAATATAAATAAACTGAGTAATGCATTGAAAATGTAACTGACAGAAGTTAATGATAAAGAAAGGAAATTTTCACATTACACAAAAACAGATGACTCACCAAAGAAGGAAGTTGTTCAGAGTTCAAATACCACAAACAATAAGGAAGGTTATGAGATATGGACATTCGATGAGACCCCGAGTATTTGAAGTTGATGTTATTGTGTTACTCATTAGATAGCTTGATAACACTGCTATAATTGTTGTACATCAACGTTCTCTGGTTTCTTGTTCTCTACTTAGATTAGCCCACGCCAGTCTCTTTCTCAAAAAGAAAAAATCCTTAGAGGTCATAAATATATATATATATATATATATATATATATATATATTACAAATAAGGTATCTCTGAATGAACTAAAAAAATTGTATTCTTCTGATTCAGAATATCTTCAAAGCCATTTATTTTCAGTTTTTCAATTGACGTGTAGTTTCTCAGGTTCACAAGGCCAATTCCACTTTTTTTTTCATTTTTCCCTTTCCTTTCCTTTTGAAAGGACAAAATGTCCACACTTCCTAAATATGTACCAAATAACTTAATGTCTTCAATATGCCTTGTACTCAAAGTCACTATCAGCCTCATTATCCAGTCCTGTTCCGCCATCATTCTTGTCTTTAAGCCTAGCCTGTAGTAATATGTGCTCTACAACACCAGTCCTAATGTCCATCTGGTTCATGTCCTGTTTGATCTTGGCTATTGCCTTCTTTATATTGACCAGGGGGGCTGGAATGGAAGAGTGACGACATTTTAATAAACTAAAGATTTACACGTAAGCAGAAGAAGCCTGTGTCTTGAATTCTTCTGAGAAACTGCCACCTAGACGGCAGCATGTTAATAACCTAAAGATTGATGTGTAGGCAGGCGTGTCTTATACTTTTCCGATTAACGGCCACCTAAACTGGTAGACCTAAAAAAACTACTAATATCGGGATGAAAAATTATTAAACAAAAGAGGAAATTTAAAGGGGGAAAAAATTGATTAATGACCCACTTTGTTATCCACTATTGGACAAGCAAGCCACTTTAAAACATGCATTCTTTTCCTTCTTAAAGTTTAAGTTTGATGCCAAATCTACTAGTAATCCATATCCTCAGGTAGGTGCTTAACATTCCATACTGATACTGTTACAGTGAGCAGCATTAAGGGAGGGATTTGTTCAGAACTGCTTTAAGACAGGTAGGTTAACATCCTTAACTAATACAGTGAACTATGTAAAGGGAGAGACAAAGGGAGCTTTCACAATCAAAGCTGAACCGCAGACTACCAGATCCGTTGGTCAAATATAGCTGACCCACTTGAAAGCTTACTGTGTAATCCCCACAGAAAATTTGACAGTGTCTATTAGGGGACTATGCAGCAAGCTATCAAGTGGGTCAGCCATATTTGATACATGGATCTGTTAGTCCATGGATCAACTAGTTCTGAATGTTCCCAATGTCCAGTGAAGCGAGGACACTCACCTCCATCTGTCATACTGCTGCCTTTCTCCTCCATCTCCATCTTCACTCTCTCCAACTCCTCTGTTACCTAGTTACCAAAAGTTAACATTTTCTATAATAATTAAACCATATAATTTCAATAGCCAAAAATGTATTTAAAAAAACAAATAGTGCCTTAAGGGTTCATTAAAGTAAAAATTACCATATTCTGACTTGCTTATTATGGTAGTCAAGCAGTTATAGAGAAACGTTTTGGTGTATTTTTTTTACATATACAGGTATAAATTGTCAAGTTTACACACCACTGCTGTTTATTATATTTCTGTATCAATTTCAATACTTCCAGGCATCATTGTATCATAAATAACAAAGTATACGGCAGGTCTTAATATTTTATATAATGCTGGTACTGATTTCAATATTTTATTTAATAATATGGTAACAGCAGATCTACAGGTTGGCCACCCTGTTATGTGTAATATACTATATGATTTCTACAGAGTAAACTGTCAGGACGGTGACTGTGAACATATGAGACTGTGACCTAGATCAGTACCTTTAACTATTAACATGACACAATGTGCCTGCATGAAAACCTAGGCTCAAACCCTTATACACGATTTGTTAATAAAAAATGGTATTTTTCCCTGACTGTCAAGCGTTAAGTACATAAAACTATGACCTGGGGAAATATACCTAAGTGGTAATGTTACCTGCATGTAAACAGAAATTCTACTGCTTCCCTCAACAGAAACTTGTAATATTATATTATATTATTTCCACGGAGCAAACTTTTGTGTAAAAGTGAACCTGTTAAAACTACATGGTATCAGTATGTCTAACTGTATAACTGTGTGTGTGTTTGACAATCTCTCTTCCTTTTTCTCTCTCTGTGTGTGTGTGTGTGTGTGTGTGTGTGTCCATATGTACAGTGTAGGTACTTAGTTACTTCTGCTAATACCCTTATACTAGTCCTCTGTTAACAGCTTATGTGTGTGTGTGTGCATGTGTGTGTGTGTGTGTGTGTGTGTGTGCATGTGCATGTGTGCATGTTCATGCATGATTGGTGCTTACTTCTGCTCACACCTTGGTCCTCTTGGTGACTCCACCACTTCCTTGTGTGTGTGTGTGTGTGTGTGTGTGTGTGTGTGTGTGTGTGGTGCGCACATGTGTGTGTGCATGTGTGTGCATGCATGCATGAATGTGCATGTGCGTACTTACCTCTGCTAACACCCTCGTCCTCTCAGTGACCCCACCACTTCCCTGCCTGTACCTCTCCTTCGTCTCGGCAGCCTGGTCCTGCATGGACCTGAACTCATTCAACAGGTGCTCCAGCTGGTTGTTAATGTACTTTTCCCTGCTGCCGATCTTCTCCAGGGTCCGCGTGATCTCATCATGGAGCTTGTCTAAGTGTGTCTTTGTCTCTGTGAGTGAAGTCTCGATGCCATCTTTGTGGGTGTGCATTTGCTCCACATGGACCCTCCAGTCCTGAGGTGAAAGTTGGTGTTTAAACATTTAAAGGCTGGTTAAGCTTACTTTACATTTAACAATTTGACTCTTTAAGATATTTAACTAAAAGGTTATACAAAATATTCTTTTAACCAAAACCAAAACATTGACCAAACTCTTTCACTTGCCTTTAAAATCCATTGATATAAAGTAAGTTTTAAACTTCTCATATTTGCAATTAAACACAAAAATTCACAATTAAAACCTAATTATAATGGACTTTACAAAGTTTCAGATTATAAAAAGATATACCAAATATACCATGTAGAGGTCTTTATCATTTGAGTCATGGTGTTACCTTACACCGTTTTAAATTCATATACTTAGGCAGAAATATAAAAAAATTATAATGCTTAACCATGTAATCTATGGCGTTACCTTATTGTCAGTCCTTATTGTGACTTTAAGCTGAGGCTGGACTCTCTCCACCTCCAACTTCCACTCGTGCGCGTCAGTGTTGGACTCCATGATCTCCTCCGGTTTCCCTCCTTCTCCAGAATCCTGGCAGAGAACATTAATCCATTTTTAAACATTTATCTTATTCTCTTTTTTTTTCACTCTCGTCTGGCAAATTATTCAAACTATGATATGGTATCTACTAGGTTTGACATAAGATAAAGGTACTCTTTTCTTCTTCAATAATGTCAGAGACAAGTAGTCTATATCAGCATGGTATTCCTGATTAGAAACTCAAATAGAAGAGAAACATAACATATATTGACAATTTTTCAGTTGTTGATTTTATTCACTCTGAGATAAAATACTGTTTGTGCTGAATTGCCTATTTATTGTGATTAGATGTTAGATTCAAGTTTTGCTACCTGCAGTTATTTTCAGTCAATTCAGAAGTCAGTAACTTAAAATAAAAGAAAGATACCAGAACTACCTTTTATCAATAAAATTATGAGTGAATGGAAAGATTTATTAAAAATCAAAGCAAATTATGTTTCAAAATCCAACAATTACATAAAATGTCAGTTAACTGAGCCTATTAAACCAACCTTAGACATCCCCATGCCTCCCAAGTCCAGTAAATGTTCTTCTTCTTCAAATTCTTCTTCAGTGTCATCCTGAATGTGAAAATACAATTGTGAAACAAAAGGGGCACATACATATAAGTAGATTTTGAAATGTTCATTTGACTCTGTGTTAAATCTAGGCATTATATAAGATAATTTTATAATACCACAGAAGTAAAGTCTGGATAAAACTATGAACTATTGTAAAGAGGTCAATGTTAATTTTTAAACAAACAAGATCATCTGTGATCATACCACATAAAGTTTGTAAAAGGAAAAATTAAGAAAGCCTCTTTTCCTCCATTAAGTCATCTTTTCAGATCACTGGCAAACCATAATGTTCATTATTTAATTGTCAGAAAAAAAAGGTCTCCCTTACCGCCATCATTTCATCCTCCACTTTCTGAAGATTTAATTCAGATTCATCCTCCACAACATTATCCTCCTCTTGCTCTTCTTCTGGGTAAATAGGTCTGGAGATAACAGTACATTAAATCACTTACTTTTTGTAGCTTGTCTACAGTTAAACATCACTGTTTTGATTTGATCTGTCATCACTACATATAGGTTTGCTGCTCAGAGACCGTGAGACAGAAAATACCATTGAGGTATGAATTTTTTTTTACAACAGGCAGATTTAAAATGAAGAAAGTTTATAAAAACTATGGGGCTTACAGCAGCACCAGCAGTAGTACTGTAGTGGTAGTAGTAGTTATACTGGCAGTAGTAAAATGATCACTGTGACAATTTTTCTTTTGATAATTGTAATGTTTGCTTCAAACTTTATTTAGTAGATGATTTTTTACCATAGTCCTCTTATACTTTTTTCAAAAGTTGCAATTAACGAGATAGGCCTAACAAATAGTTTGAGACTGCTGTCTTCAGTTCCAAGCATTTATAGAGGATGTAATGAGCTGAATTTGATGACAAATTTTTATCATTATATTAATTAACAGTGCCAGCAAACCATATGGTTTTTCGTATTCTTAAGCCTTACTTTTTCCAGCTGAATCCTGTTTTCTTCAAGGCTTCATCTGAGGCTCGTGCCAGGACATAGATACACTGCTCTCCACAGCCCTGCTTTAACTTGGACGGCGGGAAATCCACTGAGTGACCCTGGAACAGTGGTGCAATTTTTTTAAAATTATTTGATCATTTTTATTTTTCAAAAATTTTAATTATCAATTTAATCTAATACCTAGTATATCAGGGTTATTAACTCTATTCAGAACCAGAAGTAAAATTACCCAGATGTTTTCCTTGGAGTGGTCCTGTGACAATGGTAAAACAGATAGCATGCAAACGTTGGGCCAACGTTGGCCCAACGTTGCCTTGGTTGACCATGCATACGTTGGCCCAACGTTGGGTTTCCATCTAAGTGCTCACTTTGGCCAACGGTTGGCTGAACGTATTTGGCCAACGTTGGCCCAACGTTGGTCAATTTCAATGCTAACGCATTGCCAACATATTCCCAACCAAACTACGTTGGCCCTACATTGGGCCAACTAATATTCAACGTTGGCCCAACAATTACCCAACCTGTAACCAACAGTGTATTTACGTTGGTTCTACTAATAACCAACATCGGTCCAACGATTACCCAACCTCAAACCAACATTGCTTTAACATTGGGCCAACGGTACTAGGCCAACTGGTCACCGAGGTATCTGCAATTTGCACAACGATGGGGCACAGTGATTTACATCATTGAACCAAAGGCAAAATGATTTTATCCAGAATCACATACGTAGTAGGGCACTGTAATAACATGTCTGATGCACAGGCAGATCAATGTCCTGATGAAATATCTTAAGCATCTGAAATCTACAGACTGCAAGGTATAACTGAAAAATTAGCAAGCTAATTAATGGATGAATTCTTCAGAGGACTTGATCTGCCTGTGTTGCGGTNTGGGAAAATATCATTGCACATCATTTCATCATTTTATACGTCTTGTATATCAGGGTAATCAACTTATTACAATTTAGTCAAAATGCACCGATCTTTTCTTGAATGTGAAATTAATAATACAATTAAACAACAAAAAAAATAGCCAAAATATGCTAAAATTGAATAGAAGTTGGCAGCTGTTTATTACATTAAGATCGAATCAAAATAACATAAAGTTTACAATGAATCTGAAACAACAAGATCCCTTACAAAACTCCTTAAGGCATCAAGTATACTGGATATTGTTGCATTTGGGTCATCATATTCCTGTGGCTGATCAAACTGCATTCCTGTCTTACGGAACAGCCATGCTGCTAGTGAAGTAAATGCAAAGAACTGCTCACCAGGGTTGGTGGGGAGAGCAAAGTAGTGTCTGAAAACATTGGATATCATATTACTACAGCCTCTTCTGTTGTCATCAATATCATTTACAGGTATAAAAAAATATTACCATTAATGTGAAAATCAAAAGGCCATATCAGGAATTTAGTCAGAACCTAACGCTGAATCAACATACGTAACAATAGTCAGTTTTCAGTTAAGATCAAAACAGCCTAAATGCTGCAAATAATTTTACAGAATTATTAAATGCACATAGCTACATGTACCTTGATCTTTACTAGTAGTCTAACAAATGTGTTTGCAATATATAATCTCACGATAACTAAACTAGTACTATCTCTAATTGATATCAATGGCCCAATTCAAATCACACAAAATACCTTGAGAATGGTTTGAACCCAAACTCTTTGCAAAACTCCTTCTCATAGTCCATGAGTTTCAGTTTGTCTAGGAGGTCCTCCATCTGAACATATGGCATATAGAGGGCGCCAGGGCCCCCGTCCCCGTCAGCATCCTCTCCTCGTCTACGGTCGTCACTCATGGTTTAAACTCTGTCTGACTTTGAAAAACTTATAACTGCGCTGAAAATTTGTTCATTATTTTAATAAAATAAATTATTTTATTAAATTCACATAATAGGCTTAAAGTACAATACCAGTATGTATAGTTGATAAAAATGCTTTATCAATTACTGTAACTGAAATAATATCTGAATGGATGGTTTAAGGTAAACAACTGTAAGGCTTTAATCGTCTGTACTGAGGTATTCTAACAATGATTTACTAGTTTTCATAGCAATGAAACGTATGTACTATGGAGGCACTAAAGTGTATAACCAAGCTTAGTAGCTGGTAAAAACACCAGGATAAAATATTCTACACAACCTGTCATGACCTAGCTTTAACTCACTTCAAGTTCCGTAAGAAATTCCGAAAAAGACGTGTACTGACACGTTTTTTAAAGAAATGTTTCAAATACTAAATAATTTTTGTTAATAAAACGTCATGTCAAGTCAGTGACTGAATGAATCAGAAGAAGTCGTCAAATTTCAAAGGATGATTTGAGAAAAATACGTTAAGTTCACAAGCCTCTTATCTTCTCTTTCACACCTTGTGAATAATTTATATGTTGTGCTATTTAGTGTTCGTAAAGAGTACTCTCTGATTTGAATAATTCACCAAAATCTTACCTTCAACTGCACGAACCGCACAATATTGTTTTCATGTTGTTAAGAATTTAGATGCCCGTATGTTTAGTTATATATCGTCGATAGGTGGCAGGACTTGAAAGCTTAGTGAACTTTTCTCTAATCATTATGAAGAATTGATTAATTTGCTGGTGTATATTTTTTAATCTCCTTAACATTTTCCAAAAATATCAGTAATTGACACAGTTTTTCTATTTTTCTCAATTTTAAGATTTGTACGTTGCGTTACTGTGTCAAGGTGAAGGTCGTTGTCGATGAAAACACGAGCGGTCAGTTTACGACATGGGGGATCCGAAGGATCTCGAATCTTTCCTGAGCAAAGTTGATAGTATAGGTAAATTTTATCAATTTTGTGCTTGATAGATAAAACTATGTTACCGATGGTCCTTGTGTGCTATTTTCTTTATGTCTTTTTTAGCTCCTTTTTAGGCAGTGTGATCCGAAGTTCAGGAAATCTAACCAAGCCAAGGCATTGGATTTCAGTTCAAGATTCATTAATTTTAGCGTCATTATAAGAAAAATCAGCGGGGGTGAAAACGCGCTACTTATATGATTGGATTACCGTCACTAACGGATTTTAATTTGTTACCTTCACGGCCAAGAAGGACTAGACTTATGAACACTAAATGTAGTCGATCCACACTAAATGTAGTCGATCCACACCTGGGTTTTTGTTTTTGACAGTTGTTAACAGGGTTCTTGTTCAAGGTGTGAAATCTATGGACCAACAACTAGTCCTACTCCTGTCTATAATAACTCTTGTCAAGATCCATTTATTACTCATTTTAACGTAATTATTAGGAAAAAATAAAATGCAATGTGCTCAAAAATTAGTGATTAAATTTAATATTTTGCAGATACTAAAAAAATTATGACAATTGTGAAATGAACTAAAACAGTTTGTAATATTGTCAGCTTTGTAAAGGACTTCTTAATTAATAAAGTGTATAGTTATTAAAATAATAAGAAATTAGAATGAAGATTGATTCTGTCAGGATTTTCCACCTTTCCCTACTAATCGTCTTGTTTAATTTGACTTCCAGAGGCAGTAATTAAAGGTCTGAGTGCGGGTGACGATGATGAGCGTGGAGCAGCACAACAGAAAGCAGATCAGCTGCTAGCTGAACTTTCAAAAATCAAGGAGACAGCCAAAGATGATAAGAAGAAAAAGCATCCTGCCCCAGACAGAACAGGTAGTTTTACACTAAAGATTTTCACTTATAAACTTAAAATTCATATAGAATCTGTAAGGAAATATTTTTTCATAATATTATAAAAACATTCTTCGTCTAAAGCCATTTAGCTTTCTATATCATCATACATTGGAACTCCTCTGTCTAATAACTGTTGTCAGTCGAGGTATATAACATGTATAAAATATTGTTATGTTTTGCCCTACAGGAGTAAACAGATCAGTAATCAACCAGGCAGCTTTTGATGATTCTCCTCCTGTTGTCCAAGATGGGATGTCACAAGGTACGTAATAATAGTAGGGGACAGGATGACATGTGACACCTTTTAACTGATCAGCACTATTGAATCTCGGCTCTAGAAGACACTCTCACCATTGACCTTAAACTTTTCTTTCCGTTAACTTTGATCAAAGGCCCCATTCAGAATAGGGGACTTACAAGTGTGAGGGTCAAATATGGCCAACCCACTGAAATGCTTTCCCCACGGGATATCTAGCAGATTAGACAACAAGCTTTTTAGTGGATTGTCGTATTTGACCCTCGGACTAGTTAGTCCACTATTCAGAATGGGGCCATAAACTAGTAGCCTTCTATGCCCTTTGAGGGGAAAAAAATCACTCATAGACATACTTGTAAACATTGATACTAATGGTATATACAGAGGCTTTCATGTCAGCCCTGGAGAAGGATGCAGAAGAAAGAGGACGGAGGAGACAAAAGAACATGAAAGAAGCAAATGAAATTAAGGAAAAGGGCAATGTGGAGTTTAGGCAGGGAAACTATGAAAAGGCAGCACAGTTTTATACTCAGGTGGGAGGATGCCCTGTTTATTATTTATTTCTTTTTTACTCCATATCGTAATTTTTTTTACTGTAATAATACTAATTGCCATGGATGATTGTTTCACATTGCTGTTTAAATCTGACGAATGCAGGCTTCTTCACAGAAAAATAAAAATATTATTCCATAGCAATTTGACTTCTTTCAGGTCCGTGATGATTGACAAGGCCATTGTTTATTTTCTCTTATACTTATTTTAAAAGGTTTTATCAGATATTTTATTGAAATGTGTTTTACTTGTTCTAGGCAATAGAAAAAGTCAGGGACAACACGGCGTTATACACCAACAGAGCTCAGGCCTACAACAAACTGGGGAGGTATGAAGAGGCCTTGAAAGACTGTGACTGGGCCATTAGGGTAAGGAGACAGGCATAAGGATTTCATAGTTGACAGACATGCTGAAACTGTCAGGCCTCTTAGTCATGGCTGATAAAATTTTAAGTGACTGGTAGAAAATTGTGTTCAATTTGTCCAAGAGAATGGCAAAAATTTAGAGACAACTGAAAGCTTTTTGAATTTACTGTCCATCTGGCAAAAGCTCTTCAGTCTGAAATTTAATAACTGCCTGTCTGATTGTCTGTTTTTTATTTTTAATAGAGTTTTCAGCACATCTGAGTTGAATATTATGTATTGAAAACCATGCTTATAATATGCCAATTTGTTATGGTGTATTGAAATCTGGATATTATAACTTTGCTTTAAGTTTTTTCATGGGCTTTGATTACAGAGGTTTAAAATGATGATTTCATGGACGGGTAGTTCATCTGGAGAACTTTAATGGACTGGTAGTTTATGTTTTCAGGTATTTGAAAATTGCCTCAAAGCTTACATACACCAAGGAAAAGCTTACCTGGGACTAAAGAATTATGATGCTGCTGTGGAAAGTTATGAGAAAGCCAGAAAAATAGACCCAACAAAGGAGAAAGTCATAAATGGTGAGTTAGGAACTTTTTTTATTATTATTATGGTTTTGTTTTTTTGAATGGTTGAAGGCATTGCACTTAAGGCCCAATGATGACGATAAATCAAATTAAACAATGATAAATGTGAATATTTGTCTTTGCATGAGTGTTTTTTATTATTTTCAGCCTTGTCACAAATTTCTTTCTCATTAGAATAAATTACTGAAGATAGCATTGTTTGTATTGAGTCATGCACATCCCCTCAGTTTGTCTGTACTTTCTTCTTTTCTCAGACTACATAGCAGAAGTGGAGCTAGCGCGGAGGTCAGAAGAGGAGGAGGCGACGGCCCTATCCGTGTTTGAGTCTGGAGATGAAGAAACCAAGACAATCCACGAGGTGATACAGAAACTACAGAGGACAGACCAGCCTACGGTGTTCTACTGTGGAGGGATGAGGGTGGCTGTCAACTTCCTGGTGAACAGTAAGGGCACTTTTGTCTTTCTTTTCAACTACTTAATATTCTGCTTAGAGATTTGCACAGCATGGATGAAACTTTTCAGTCTTCATTTTGATCAATTTTTTTATATAGTCTAAATGCAATGAAAATTACTTTCATCACTATGTTATTGCTGTTTTATTGGATGTTTTGTTTGTTGCTGATGACCTTTAATTATTTCAACTGCAGCCAATGAGAGGACAGTTTTTAGACTTAATGGGGGACTGGATCTTCTTAAAAATCACCATGTGCTCTCCAGGTATGTGTGTCATTTAGCAGTCTATTTTTATGTAGATAGGCCCATTATTAGTGATTTGTCTTGATGAAGCAAGCTAAAGTTGGTGAGGATAAGTTTAACACTTGACTAACACTTGCTAGGGTAGAGTTAGCTGGTTGAAGTTAATCAGGATAAGTTTAACATTTGGCTAACACTTGCTAGGGTAGAGTTAGCTAGTTGAAGTTAATCAGGATAAGTTTAACATTTGGCTAACATGTTCTAGGGTAGAGTTAGCTAATGGCTGTCTATATCTGTTCTAGGTGTATTTCTTCCACTGCTGATGTATTGAAGCCAGATGAGGTGGAATTGTGCTGTGCTGCTGCTGATATGTATACTGCTGCTTGTATCGACAATGGTAATGTTAATACAGTGTGCATATATTGATAATGGTAATGTTAATTTACATACATTCACTTCAGAGGCAATGTTAATACATTTTTACCACTTTGCTAAATATAAACGTGGACAGATGTTGCAGTTTGCCTGTTTTGATGTTATAGAATGCAGCCACAAGGGTAACTGCACTGATATTAATGGTAAATCTATTGAAAGGAGGTACATACATGTATCAATAATATGGAAATACCAATATAAAGGCATAATACTGCGTGAAAATTTCTTGGCTGCTCTCTCTTTCTCTGCTCTTCTCAAGTGGCTGTTAGTAAATATTACCCTCATATGGATCTGCCTTACATCAGCCAGAATCTAACATTTACCTTGATTTATGATGCAAACATATATTTAATTTGTCTTTCAGAGGAAAACCAGAAACAGGTGATGGAAGTGCCAGACTTTCCTCTACATGTTCTTGGTTTTCTCTCGGCCAAAAAGAAAGGGCTGGCATCCCTGAAGGCCTCCTTTATGACATTTCTGTTCACTCTGTCACAGTATGGTGTGGGGAGACAGAAGATACTGGTCACCATGGAGATGTCCAGGTAAAGTTTTTTCTTCAGTAATTGTTCTTTGTACTTGTTAGACAAGCTTTGCCTTGTAGTCCAAGAAATTGGTGCAGAAAAAAGGGTGAATTGTGCATTTTTTACCTACAAGCATGAATTTTGCCACAGTTGTAGATAATGGAATTCTAAGCTTTTTTGGATATATGGGCATGTCTGAAAATTCCAGTATGGCCGCCAAATCCAATATGGCCGCCACAAATACTCTTTTAAATTAAAACATCTAATATATAGTCCTAAAATGGTTTAGAATATCATTTTATAGCTGGAAAATATCATGCTATGAATGAATTATCAATATCCGCTTCTACAGGTGTATAGAATTCCAAAATGGCCTCCAAAAGTAAAATAAGCAGTTTATNCCTTGCTAAAGACAGTGTTTAGGGCATTTCTATTCGCTGTGCCACTGTGTGTTTCACTATATATATATATGGGAAACACTGGTAGAAAATAATTTAATGATATAATCAGTTATCATGGATTTTAACAGATTAATCTTTGGTATTTGTTAGAATTTATTTTGTTTTCTAGACTTGTGTCTTGCCTGTTCCGTCACATGAAGAAGAGTGGTGCTATTTCTTCCAATGCTGCTGCTGTCCTCAATAATCTGGCTTTGGAAGGAAAGTAGGTGTACACACTTGTTTCTAATTTATAATTTGTTTTATAAAGGGTATTTCTTTGGTAAATTGGGGCTTTTATTCAGTGGGGCCTTATCATATCTTTGTTATAGATTTTTGAGAGGATGATCTATTTTTAGTGGATTTCTCAAGGACTGAATCAAATCCCCTGTTGCTGTTACTTATTATTAATAAAGAACAATTTAAATTTTATGCATGTTGATGCATTAAAAGTTTGGGATAAAACCTTATAAAGATTTGACTTTCAAAATTTAGATTTTGCACTCCATGTATTTTTATCAAAATTTTTGATTTTGAGGTTGTTTAGAGATACAAACTGGAAAAAGTTAGTAAATGGGCAGTTTTTTGTCACACAAGAATATTATAATATTATCCATCAAAAATGATTCCTGACCAAGGGTCTTTTTTTGTTTCAGATTCAAAGCTCAGCTGAGGCCAGGTTTTGAAGAAATGGTCCTGCCAACCTTAGAAAAGTTTCTGGTATGTACCATCTTACAGAGGTTTTATGCTGAAAGACTCATACCAAACATAACATGAACAAAAGGAAAAACATTAATTGAGTCAGCTTTTTGTGTCTGTATTTGTATGAGCAAACCATGCTAATAGATTTCTATGCTTACGGTTTTAATCACTTCTCCATTGCATGCTTTAGGAGGAAAATTTCTATTCAAAATTCATTAAATTCATTTCAAGCCACATCCAGCAATTTGTCAATCAAGTGTATTGCCAAACTGTGTCTGTATTTGTAATCTGTCAAATTCAGAAAAAAATCTGATCAGTTTTGATGTTTATTTCAGTTGAAAGGCACCAGTAATCCCGTCATTCTTCCATCTGTCCTGTCCAGTATGACCAACCTGTGTGGTGATGCCTTCATACGGAACAAGATCTGTGCCAAGGAACAGTGTTGGGAGGGATGTTGCCACATGTTGGTATGTTAACTAGATAATAGATTGACTTTTCTGCAGTCTTTTTTCATCTTCAGTCTGTAACTTCTTTTCAGTCTTTTTTCCTGTTCTTTTTTATCCTCTGTCAGGGTCGAGAACTTGTGTACAGTATTGAAATGTGTACAGTGACATCTGTTGTTATATATGTTGTAGGAGAATATATCCAAACAATGAATTGATATTAAGAAATTTGAACTGTATTTAGCTGCTTAATGTTCCTTACAATTTCCTGTGAGCAGCTTTAAGACAAAATATATTTTCTGCAAGTTACTGGGTATTTTTATTTGTAATTATTTTAGGTATACATACAATTATTAGTATTCTTTTAAAGAAGATAATATAGTTGTTTTCCCCCTGTTATTTCAGAAAGAATACTCAGAAAAGCATGCCAATAAACTCGGAGAAGAAACATTGTTTGCTCTTCTGGGACTGCTACTCAATCTCTTGTACGACAACACTGCTGTTACGAAACACAAGTACGAGCTGGATCTGTGCATCACGTGTCAAGATCTGTACACCAAATGTGAAAAAGAGGCTGTCCAGGAGAGGGCGCTGTCTGTCATAGGAAACATCCTGCCACATTCAACAGAGACTACCCGCGAGATGTGTTCACGGGATATTACACAGTTACTGGTACAGATTATACGGGTAAGTTGGTGGCTGGCAACAGTTGCAGTTATGAATCATTTCTAATGAATAGCTTTTTAATGAAATAAACAAAAGCAGTCTGACATATTTAAGTCTAGAAGTCAATTTTTTTCAACACCAAAATTTGACTTCCTATTTTTTTCAGTTCCTGATACTTTTTCTCCTTTCTTTCTTTTTTTTTTTTTTCATAGTTCTTAAGGTATCCTCTTTAAGGTGATTAAGAAATTAATTCTAATACTGGATCTAACGTTGAAACAGAGAACACAATGTTTCTACCTTATCACAGGCCCTTTTTCAGGTTAACTGAGTTGTCCCCAATATCAGTCATTTTCCACCTTGTTTGTTTATGATCTTTCAGAGTGAGAAAGCTACCCTTACAAAGCCAGCAGTCCGCTGTATCTCCGCGTGTACCAAGGTCAGCCAGGAGGCTAGAGACAGTATTGTAGAAAATAAAGGTGGGATGATAAAGACAAATAGACATAATTATTGATCTGTAGCACACCACTTTGGCTGTTTTATTTGACCTCAATAATAGTCATTCAAGTTATGGGGTTTAGTGCCATTCTTGCAAGGTCTTTTTGAGTGTGTAGGTTCATGTGCGTTACAGGTTTCCACTTCCCAGGAAAGCATTTTATGAACTCTCTGTGCTGTTATGATTTCAACATAAAGAAGACTTGCAGCACCTCACCTGAAATTTCAGTGACCTGTGTTTAAGGTTGTTGCTCAACATTTAAATAATCAACTACCCTGTGTATCAGGTTGTGTTTCCACATTTAAATGACCAGTCACGCTGTGTATGAGGTTGTGTTTCTACACGTAAATTACTTGTCACCCTGTATTCCAGGTCTGGGTCCTCTAGTAGAGCTTCTAAAGAGTCAGGACGAGATCGTAGTTGGCAATGCGGCCCTGTGCCTGGCACACCTGGCGGAGAACCACAGGGTGTGCCAAAAACTGGTGAAAACCAACATCATTCAGCACCTCCTGGTCATAGTGAGGGACGGCAAGAGGACAGGGGTTCAGGAAAATTGTGCCATTCTCATTGCTAAGCTGACTCAAGGAGATACAAGGTAAGGAACGAAAATTCTGAGTAGTCTTTTGACGTCATGGCACCTTAGATAATGTTATGTTGTTAGTAGAAGAGTAAACAGTTTATGAGAGATTTAGTGGGGAATTTTTTCATACATTTTTTAGTAGATGTAGTAATGCAGATAAGCATAAGGCTGATTATTTTGAGACAATACCCACATGATATAAAAACATGAGGTGTATGGTTTGCTATGTAAAAGGCATTTTTATTTTCATGTGAACTGTTATTTTCCAGACACTTAGAGAGGCTGCGTGAGCTTCATGGAATAGAAATTCTGCATTCTGTCATGAAGTTTGTGAAGACATGATCGACACTTAGTCCAGCCAATAAACCCTCGCCTGTCTGAAGATCTGTCATATCAAAAATCTCCAAACGGGTGTCACTTACCGATTTTTTTGGTGTTGTATAGTACTACAACCACCTGAAGGTTGAAATAATATTTTCCCATTTCAAGGAGTATTAAGTTTGATGTGCCTTGGTTAGAGGAGCTTCACTGAAAGATCTCTCGTTATCACAGGTCACACTACAAAGGTCAAGGTCACAAAGGTCACACCAATGACATTCAACTGTGTGAACATTGGACAAACACTGCTTAAATATTGAAAAACCTGTGTGTGATAAAAGCTTTCTCTGCTGTAATGTAATAGTAGATTCAATTTTTCAGTACTTTTGTAATATTTCAATAAAATGAACATTTTGCAGTAATTTGTGTTCTTTTTATTTTCTTTATGTTCATATGCCAGGTGATGTTTTTAGTGTGTAATTTTCATCTTTTTCTAACGGTGTTCTTTCAAATGGCAGCTGGTATTTGTTTTTGTTGTTCCAATGTTCATTCAGATATCAATAATTATTTTTTTATTCAATCATTAATTCATACACTCAGATCTGCAATCGTATTGATTTGAATTCTGTGAAAAAAATCTTAATTCTCATTATTCTTTTTTCTCTATTGAATTGTATTTTACAATTTTGCCCTCATTTTCTCTTAATTCTCGTGTGATTATTTTTTCTGTTTTTTTTAACTCCTGTTTTTGCTTGAGTTTTCAATTTTATCAGGTCATCTTGCATTGTGTACAACCTGCATTGCTGAAAAAAAAATGGACAACTACTGTAACATCCATTCAGACTGCTACGTGTCACCAGACTGTTAATTACTCTGCTGGGTATATTTATGTCTGCTGCCACCAATTGTCTGCAGATTTTGAGTCTAATAAACTTCTTACGATGGTACATTTGGCTATGAGACTGGTAGTGTTGCTGTTTGTTGCAGTTTGTATCGTGCAGTCAGTGCACGGCGCATGCACGGGGTGTGAGAATGGGCTAACAGGTAAGCCCTGTAGAAGCACACATTGTTGTGAACATCATTTGATTTTAATTTTAGAATATTGGTTTCACGTGGAAGTCTAATTTGATCATAAAATAATAGTAGAAATTGTAGGAATTGCACCATTAAAAAATGTGCTAGTCATCTTTACCAACCAAATTATGATTAAAATTTGAGGACATGAGGACTTTAAGACCATTTTTTTTTTCTCTGCAATGGAAAGTCATTTCAATTGGCAAGCCTTCTGTTTTGAAATTCTATTTGAAAAAATTTGAAATTGTATTCTTTCAGTATATAAGCAAGATGTGATTTTCTTTTAATACATATTTGACATAAAATTCAGGTTTTCTAAAAGGAAAATGAGAATTGAACCAAACGAAACAAACATTTAGGCTTGCTGTTCTTTAAAATTTTATAAACTGTAAACTTTTGTCTGTAAAATGCCCATCCCTCTCTGTATGTGCAGTCAGCAGTAGTTCCAGCAGTGACTGTAACAACGTCCTCAGTCCATGCCATGCTAACAACATAGGAGACAAGTGCTCTAGTCAGGGCTATTCCTGTGTGTAAGTATTCACTTCTACTTAGATGTATTCAATGTTTTTTTTCCCCTAAATGAAAGTTTCAGTAAGAATCAGACATGGTGGTATATATTTCAAGTCCTCTGGAGTCGCAAGGATTTTGTAAAAATACAATACATAGTAATGAATCACATGTAAACATAGATGAATAGGTTCAAAATTTGGAGGACCTGCAGATTTCTTGTAGTGCAGGTCCTTCAGACTCTCAGTGTCTCCAGAGTTTTCCCCATGTCTGAGTAATTACGTCACTTCATTTGTTTTTCAAAGATTAAAGGAGGCATGTCCTTTAAAGCTGTTGAGGCTTCTTTACTCATGACAGCCACAGTAACATTATTCCATGATCTTGGATTTCTGTGAAGACTTTGAAGTAAGTCACGAAAACTGTCCGAAAGAATTTCAATATATTCTAAGGCAGTTTCTGCTTTGATAAGTTTCCTCACCTTCACATTTCAGGGTAGGGTGTGACTGCCAGGCTCTTTGCATCTACAGAAATTATGCTTCCATGAAATCTTCTGGTTCAGCCCTTGCCTGCTTCTTTCCTTAGATAGTATGGTTTGCCAACTTCACTCAGCCTTCAGAAGTTTGAAAAAGGAATCCCGGCATTGCATGATTTGACACAAAATAATCAGTAACCAATAATAAAATAATCATTTATTTAATTGGCTTTTAATTTAAAATGATATTTAGGATCTAAAGGCTAATAACTTGATAAGCATTTCAAATCAGATCCTTCTTCTGCTTATCGGAATTTTGCGAGCATGAAATGTAATGAGACAGAAATAAAAATACAAATGTATTCTTTGCTCTCTCTCTCTCCCCCTTTATTAAATAATTATTTGTATTATTAGTTATCTGTTGGGTACACAACTTTGGGAGATGAAAAAAAGAACATTTTATAGGGTTGATGTTTAGGGCTTACATGCCTATGTATTTTCCGCTTAATAATTTGATATTTTTTTCACAAACATCCAAATTTCCGTATAAATCCAGAAGAGGGTCATCTCTGTGTATTAGTGCAACATAGTTAAACAAAGTACTCGCTGAACAAATTCACTCATCATCTCATTTATTAGTTATAAATAACTTATGAATTGGTCTAATCTTTAATATTTCCTTACATCTTGAACTAATCTTTTTAAAAGGATGAATGTCAGAACTGCTTTCACATGATACACAGGTAATTTATGATAATCATAATTCAGTCAAATTTGGCTCAATCATTAACACGGAATGCTTCTGTAACAAAAATAGTTCTTAAATGTTTGCCAGTTTGCTTACAGTCTGAAAAAACACAAACACCACAGAAAAAAATTAAAAGCCATCAGTGATACATGTATTATTAAAAGAAGGCAAAAGCTCTATGAGATTCTTAAAAAGCTATCTATAATGTCTAAATTAGAGTCTAGCCTTGGTCAATGAAATATTCAATATTCTAAAAGTTTGGTATATTCAGTTGATCTGATTCATTATATATTTAAAAAGCATGTGAATATTCATTAAGGATTCTTCAACTTTTCTTAAATATAAATCTTAGGTTTAGTTACAGCAAAAAGAGCAGATAGTACATGAGTCTAAGGGCGCATTCCCATAGATTTTAGATCGATCTATCCCCGTTGGGAGTCTCACTAGATTACTGTCAGATAATCTGGCTTAAATGTCCATCCCGCCTACTACAAGCTGTAAGGGGGTAATTAACTTTCGTGCCCGCTCGGCTAACAGCTATTTAGCGTGAACCCCCAGGGAGTTAGGTCGATCTAGTGGGATCGATCTTATCTCTGGGAATGGGGTATAACATGGTTGAATAAATAATCTTTCACTTGCAGTAAAAATCTTTTTAAACTATTACTACTGCTGAAAATACTGTCAGTCAAATATTTGTATAATTTTGAAAATGTAACATCAATATGTAGTTCAAATTGGTACGATCAATAGGACAAATTCTGCTTTGCACAAAAATGGCATGATCTATAATAATATCATTGCATACAGGTGGTGCTGAATAAAAATAAAATTTCCCATTCAATAAATAGTTTAGAATCAAATGACAATCACATTTTCTTACTTCAGTAAAATACATACTAAATTTGAAAAGAAACAGAATACAATTGCACATCTAACATTTACTTGATCAATCATTTCATTTACATAATACTTAAGGAATAAAATGTTTTTGAGCTAAAGCTATCTCAGTCACACTTATTCAAAGTCAATTTTAAAGAATAAAGGCACCTTGGCAGTTAACATGGGAGTAATTATCTCATCAATATTTAAAAGACAAAATGATTACTTATCTGTAATCTAAATACATATAACTCTAAATTTGAACATTTTGTCTCAATTATCAACAAACAAGTCTGGAAAGACACTGTTCAGAATTTTTCAAAAAGACATAATAAGCATGTTCTTATCCATCAGGTTAAATATGAAAAACAAATTATAGAGTGAATGAATATACTTCATATACCATACTATATATATTTAAAAAGCAAATGCTTACCAGATTTATACATTCTTAACAATTATTAACAAAATACAGGTGCATAGCTTTAAAACTTGTAAATCTGGTTTGAGCTGAAACCAGTGGCTGGGCACAAACCGCCAGTGCAGTGCCAATGAAGAAGAGAAAATATTACAATTCAGCTTTTCCACACAATTAGTTTCTTTGCTCTTTAACCAATACAAAGAAATTAAATCTAATAAATCCTAATATCCTACAAACATTTATGGACATTCTAATTTCCTACAAATATTTTTGGAAATATTTATTTCATACATATATTTATGGAAGTTACTAACTACTAATAATATTCATGGAAATCCTTATTTCCTGGGAATATTTTGGAAAGAAAAAGAAGGAATGATTCATAAATATAAAATACTGGTCGCAGACTAATGTTTTTTAATAACAAGCTGTTCACTGGTGAATGAAGAATGTATCAGAATGTTGAGATAAAGATGGAATTTTCATCCGATCTCGTACTGAAGCTTAAGTTTAAATCTGTGGTCACTCTGTTTCAGTCTTACCACTATAAGGCCTTGTTACCGTGCTGCAAACTGCAATAAGCTCCAGTACAGCATTTAATTAAAAATTCCATCTTCAACGTGGTTTAAAACAACAGGATGAATCAAAACGTTCACTATGGTAACAGAATGATGTTCCTAAGCAGGTGATCGTGGATGAATGGCCGCAGCTTCAGGAGGATCTCACGTGTACCTTGGTTCCTGAGGCAGAAGTTACCTGAAGGAATAATTGCAACAAAAAGGTCAGAGCCACAGGGAAAGAGAAAAATATTCTCACAGCAAATATGGAACTCGGCCTTAAAGACATAAGGATAGTTTGTAATTACTCTTAGAAAAAATTACCTAACAGCAACTAACAGCTGCTTGTTTTCCAAAAAAAAAGTCAATAATTATATCAAAATTATATTATAGTTTAACAGGAAAGTAATGCTATCTATGGACATGCTGAGTCAAGACTCAGCCTCAGTGTCTGTTTTTATGAATTAACTATTACACATATGCAGAGCACATTTTCTTTACTTAATTGTGAAGAAAAACATTCTTAATTAATGTTTCTATCTAAACTAGGAAAGAACCAATGAACAATAAGCACTGAGAGTCAGTCATTACAGTGCTCTAGCACACACACATAAAACTATTAAATTCCTACTCAGAGTTTCCCCATTTTGTCAAAGCTGGCACATTCTCCACTTAACCCACCTTATCCATAACTCCCTTCAAGTCACTGAGATCTGAGGCAAAGATTGTGACATGTGCAGGTTTGAACATCTCCTCTACGGCTCCCTTGTGTGTGGACACCTTGGCTCTACTCATGGGCTTCACCTTGTCTCCCATCCTGAGAAATAAGGAAATGTACTGACTTTAACTCCTCAGGCCTGTGTGTGTGTGTGTGTGTGTGTGTGTGTGAGAGAGAGAGAGAGAGAGAGAGAGAGAAAGAGAGACAAAAAGAGACGGGGGGGGGGGGGAGAACTTGCAAGTGAAAGTAGTCATTTCCAGTAATCACTTTCAGATTTTTCTTTCAATTAAAATAATTCTTAAATGCATCTCAAATCAGTTAAATTTTTTCGTGTGAATGGGAGAAGTATGAAAGTTTTTCTTTTTTGACACAAAGACCCTCACAGACCCTCCATAATGAAAATAATACTGAACATGCTCACCATAAAATGTAGACAAATTTCACAGTGGTGATATCGTCCACCACATCAGTCACTCTGAGCAGGGCGTACATGGCAAGAGAATTATCAAAGCCCGTTTTCAGTTCTTCCAGCCCACCTGTGCCAGAGCCTAATACCACTATCTGCTGCTTGGGGTCGCCACGTTCATAGCCAGCCAACATCCAGTTAGTGGCTGTGCCATCATCTCTGTGTTACAAAAAATGGACAAAAAGACACATGAGCTATAAAGCTAAAGATGCAGACCATGGTATAATTGATAACTATAATGTGTTTTATATCATGTTGAAAAATTTTCTTTTTCTTTCTTTTTTTTTGTCTGTTTGGTGATGTGATTCACTTTTTAATGGTAAGTAATTCAGAAAAAATTGCAGTAATTAATGCCTTAAAAATGCTTACTTCCACTTTTGTAAAATTTAATTCTCAAAGTTTAACAACGAGAGGGTTCATATAAAATGGACTTGATAGTAGTTCAATATGTCTTGAATCCCCTTACCGAACATCAGCTATAGCATCTGGCACCTCTGGGGCAAACTGCACAGGGGCGCCCTCTTTGCTCACTGCATTGACTTTAGTTGAAGACATGGACTTGTGACCCGTTGAACTGGTTTTATTACTGCAAAAGAAGTGCAAATGTTAATTTTTTTAAATATCAGTATCTCTCATCACGTATGATTCTACCTCAACCAAGCAAGAATTCTTACATTATCAATACTTGCGTACCTGGTAGCACCAGAGATTATATTTAATTCTTGACAAAAATTCTGTCTCTCAGCAATAATTTCTTCCACAGTGACCTAGATATGTTCCTTTTCTTACTTCCATAATCCAAATTCAGCTATACTACTACCTTAAAATTTGACTGGATGTAAACCCCCTCTCCTGTCTGCCCTCAGTGGATTCTAATACTTTAGATTTGGTCCCAGAGTTTTCTTCAAGCTTTATGAACAGAAACATCACATTATTTACAATAAGAAATATTCATTGAGAAGACATCATTCTTGGAACAGCCATCCTGAATAATTTATCTATTGATAGCAAAAGTGTCCAAGTATCTTTCAATTTCAAACTATACACATTATTATTATGGCATACAATGTACCACATGTATAATATAAGATATTGTGCCATACACCATTAACATTCTTGTCCATCATAAGGAAAATATTAAAACTAATTCAGCAAAATTTGTATGAACAATAAAATAATTTTTAACTGGTAACAAAACAACCCATAACATTGACAAGACAAGCCAGTGTGGCACCTACCTTCTGCATGATGGCCTCCTGTGTTAGGTCTTCTACAGAATCGGTTTCAAGCTCCAAGTGGAAGGCCCCCAGACGGCTACGAACACTTTCATGCACTACGCCACATTTCCCTCGCGTTGCATACGGGACTTTGTTTCCCACCCTGAAATGATTACATTTCACTCGTGGATTATTTAGGAGAAAATACACTCTTTCACCAATGTCAATTAAAAGTAATATACAGAATCTGAAATCAAAATTGAGTTAAATATAAAAATACAAGTACATGTAAACTGTCATTCAGAAATTAAAAGATCCAAATGCTTTTAAAAACAACATGCATAAGACAAACTGATGGCTGAACATTTTAAATATTTTTGTCCATTTTTGATGAAAAAAAATCTTGAGGAAAAAAATCTGTGGTCCTTACCAGTGTGCATACACAAACTTAACGGTGGTGGACATGTCAAAGGTGCTGGTCAGTCTGACCACCACATACATAGTCTGCTTAGGGTCCAGAACATCTGACACCTCAGAGAGGCTTGTCCCTAGAAATACAATAGAAATAAATAAATAAATAAATAAATAAATTGTAAAAAATATAAGATAAGCAGATACAGATGGCTGACCTGTCACATGATCTGTCATGTGACCACACCACTGTTTAAGACGTGATCCTGATCACATCACAGGATCACATCATTGAATCCTTGTATTATTAGATTCATTTTCTTTTTTCTCTTAATGATATCAAACTACTGGATGTATTGAAAGATTCACTCTCTTAAATAAATAGCAAAATGTATAAGGTAAATACAGATGTGGAATACCTGATATCAGATGCTTATTTTGTAGGATTTTCTATTTATACGTACCCACATGTACGACATCAACGAGGTTAGGGTTGCCGTTGACGTGACCCAGAACTACGAGGTTGACCTCCGTGTCATCTGACCTTAGATCAGCCAAAGCTTCCGCAAGTCCTTGCTCATCTGCTACGTCTGCGGTGGTACTCATTCTGTGGCAAGAGATTGAAACACTGGAAAAAAATCAGCAAAGCTGTCAAATATACAGGCAAAAAGCAGAAAATGATGGTGCACAAATTAGGATTTTCAATATTATGATGCACTACTTCATAATGAAACACTGAAAATAATAATAACACAAAAAACTGAATAAGACATGTGCACAAATGATTTTAAATGTATAAAACATCAAATGTTGTGAAGATTCAAATATGCATAACTATATAACCTATCCCTGACAGACCTCTATCTTGTTGATCTAGAATTTCCATATGCATGTACTTGCACCAGTTAAAGGTGAGCATGCTTTACATACATAAACTAGTATGCCTTGCTAATAAATAGGTGTACAGCATTTTGCTACCAGCTTAATAACATTGACATTTACTTAATTGGGTCTAAGATTAATATACATAATTGCAAACACATTAAAGCTTCATTTACAACGAAGTCGTTTCATCCCTCAATTGTCGGTCTGAGAATTGTCATCTGTATAATGTCCAATGATCATGTGATGAGGCAATTGAAGGTACGTAGGCATTATTGTGTCAAAGATGTCCATGTTGTGTGTCGTCTCCACCTCCTTTCATGTTTAAGTGATCTTAATATGCAGAGATTCAACCTACAATGTGCCAGTGAATTATCAAATACATAGGAATATTTCTGGTATTTTATTGTTTCTATCAAAAAGACTGGACTCTGTTGGGCAGCTCTAATATAGGGACCACATGAGACTCAGCAAATTTTGATTTTATAATTATTTGTATTTAATAGTATTATGTTTTAGTATACCACATTACAAAATTAATCTACTATGGACCTGAGGTCTTATTTGAATACTGCAACCATAAATAATACAAGACATCTTTATGATATATGACAACTGGTGCTAATTATGATGGTCAGTTCATCAACTGATAAAGTTTTTATCATATCAATCTACTAAGTGCTCAAAATGACAGCAAGTACCAGCCCCGTGTGGTGGTGGGTGGGGGGGGGGGGGGGGGGTTAGGTGGGAGGCTGTGGAGGTTCAAAAGAATTACCATTTTGCCTGGGAAAAGATCCAACCTAAATCAAAAAATTTTTCTAGGTTCTGTGTCATTTTTTCTTTTTTTTTTTTTTTTACATTTGCTCAGTTCTAGAGGTAGAAAAATAGAAACTAACAAAAAAGAAAAAGAACTCCTCTAAGATACTGCTGGGTATTGGACTGAATTCTCAAGGCTTTAAAACAAATTAAAGCCATAGAGAGATGACACTAGTCACACAATATATATGAAGGGTACAGAAGTTCACAGTATACTTACCACAATGAAATATTGAATGGATGTGCAGGCACATTTATTAAAATTTATCACCGCGGCTTATACCATACATTACCAAAGCTAATTACATGTCGCCAAGTATAAAGGGTGTTTCTTAACCAAGTTCTTAAAGTGGATGACACTTAGACAGATTAGAGACTTGATGACAATATAGCATGCAGGACAAACTATCAGCATGCAGCCAAAGTGCTGTAAAGGGTTGGACAATAAAATTTTAAGTCTATATTATGGACCATATCATTTGCAAACAAAAATAAATCTTGAACACTGGTCATGTTCTCTTGCAATTAATATTCAGTATCATATAAGTTAATAATGTGTAAAACTGACATGCTCGTGCAGTTTGTGGGAATGTGAAAACAGACTGGGGATGCTTGACCTCCCCTTCTCAGCTTACAGGCTGTGTGCAAACTGCCCTGAGCTTTCTCTGTACAAATATGTGGACTCAACATGGCATGATGTTTGTTTGTTGTTGACCAACAATAACCCAGTGGCATACACATCATTTACTTTGTCATGTTAGCTTACGGTCAGTGAGTGAACTGTTACATAACCCCAAGACGCTAGCTTCTGGCTAACAAAACCACTCAGACATTATTTAGCCTAAACACAGACAGCTAAAATTATTATTTCGACTTCTGCATAATTTACTTTATCTTGGGGGCTGTTCAGAATGACAAATGTCTCAAATAACTAGTGTGCACTAACTTTATGGGTCTTCTCAATTAAGATGTTCACATCATCAGGCTAACACACATCTTCTCGGCACTGAGTAGAATACAAAAACGCTGGTTAACACATGGTTATCATATGGTTATCACATGGTTAAATTCAAGACATAAGGAGGTGTGTTAATGTGTCATTCTAATTGCATTCAGCAAGAGTCCCTGTGGAGTTAGTGTGCACTAAATGCAGCTATTGTGACCTACACTAATTCATTCTAGAAGGCCCCTCAAGTTGTGCATCAGGGGCAGATTGATCTTGGTCTTCCAGAAGACGGTCAGATTTTCAAGTTTACATTGACAGGCATCTAATTTTTTCTGTCGGAAGATGGTCAAAAATGGAGGATGGACCAACAACGATAATTTGGCAGACTGTCAGAAAATATCTCTGGAACCGCCCCTGTGCATGTATTAGTACTTATTACACAGACAAAAACGTTTTTGTTTGACTGTAAGTAACAACACAGATTTGTCACACACAGTAAAAGACTTTTAGTGCAATGCAGTACAAAACTGAGGTTGCGCCCATATGCTCAATTTAATATATTTATATAATATATTTATACATGTATAAAAAATCCTGTCAGATACATGTGCACGTCCTAGTATCATACTGGGTAGATGAATCACTGTCTCACAGTCACACTATTCATCCATGTTGTGAACAATAATTGGGAATAAGAAAAAATAGGTCAAGAATGTAAAGTATGCCAACAATGCAACTGGAGTGGCTACTGTATTTGCAATGAGTACGAAAAAAAATATTTTCGATCCACGCCCACTTTCTACTAGGAATAACGCAGAATTCTCGGTACTTTTGTAGTATACCCCCCCACCCTGTAACTTCCTGAAACTTTCATTTTTCAAACATTTTTTTACATTGTCTTTTTCACCTATGTCAAAGCTGTTGAAATAAAATGTTTTTGTAATTACCTGTGGTCTTTTTATTAGTTTTAATCACATTTAATCCACCCCATTGAAATACAATGTGAAAATTTACAATGTACCCGCAGTCAATAACTTGCCGCGTTTTAGTTGGCTAACTCTACCTTATTTCATGTGAACATAGGATTGATACATTGTATACTTGGACTTCCTCTGTGAAATTATTATGAGCTACTTGTTCACATAAAATTACCTTAGAGTTAGCCAACGAAAACGCGGCAAGTTATTGACTGCGGGTGTAAATTGAAGATTCTAACATTGTATCTCAATGGGCTGGATTAAACGTGATTAAAACCAATAAAAAGTCCACAGGTAATTACAAAAGCATTTTATTTCAACAGCTTTGACATAGATGAACAAGAAAATGTAAAAAACTGTTTGAAAAGTGAAAGTTACAGAAAGTTACAGGGTGGGGGGGTATACTACAAAAGTACCGAATTCTCTCCTCGAAAAAAACATAAGCGTTTGGAATAATACCCGTATCTTGTTTTTGATAACCAATATCAGCTGCATATTCACAACAGAAAATGCCCCAAACAATACTGATATTGTGTCACTGAGTGTGAACATGTGTACAGTGTATTACTTGGCTCAATCCTCTAGTCTATCTCAAACGTTTCTGAATCTATACGTATCATTTTTACACGGTAACTGTACATTTCTCTCTAGATAATACCATAAATCTATAGGCAACATATCCACTTACCTTAGGAATTCCGATCAGCACTCAGTCTGCGATTCAGTGCGGTAATATGTGTCACTTCAATGACTCATGAATCAAGTATACTGTAGATTCACCAACTTCCGTATGTTTCTTCACTGTCGGCTTGTGCTGACGTCTGGCGAGAAAAAAAGAGAGTGTCAATATATTTTTATATTTTAACAACAATGCCTTATTTAAAACCAATTACTTTGTAACTTTTATTCTGATTTAAACTGTGTAAATTCTAACTTTGCATTTGAATCACGATTAGCTAGCTGTATTTTAGCGAGCATTTTGGGGATTGTCTTGTGGGTGACACGACCTTGAACTCTACCTGCCGGTATGTGCCGCTGATTAGTGTGTGGAGTCGTGAGGAAGGTAAATATTTGTTGCTTTGGTTTTAGAAGCTAATCTCATTTTAATACTTTTTATCAACAGGAACTTAGAGAATTTGCTATTGAGACTGCTGTAATACCGTAAGTTTCAGTATTTATTTTTGCAGCGACAAAATATCGCCATATCTTTTGTGAAAATTAAAACCACTCCCCGGTAAATGAGAAGCAAACGCGCCATGCCATTCCCTCCCTCAGAGTAAGAGTCTAAATGATTCATGGCGATTACTTTACTTCTCCACCCCTTTTCCATTCTCATTGTATATCGTGTGGTTATTTCAGAGAGGATTTTATGTTAAGTGAGTAACTTTTCATTTATTTTTATGTTCAAATTAAAAATAAGACCGTCTCTTCTGGTCGCAAAACTTTATTAGCTTCCATCTGTCAGAAATGATTTAACACTGACCGTGATTTATTATACTTAGGGCGAGTTCTAAAAATACATATACTCCTAATCGACTCTGAAATTTATTCTAAAAATGAGGATTTATTTTGGTCAGAAATATGAATACTAGTAATCACGACATCTCACTCGTATTTGAGTGCCGTGCTAGAATATGAAGTGCACTGAATCCTGAATATCCTTTCCTTCTATTGAAGTCTTAGCTTTCACTGTTTTTTAAGCAGCACATGAGAGTTTGTGAAAATTTAAATGATTTAAAAAGACCAGTGTTTGTGCTAGAATTTGGCAGATTTATTAGTGTCCTTGACCTCCGATAACAAATTACCTAGAGCTGCTTAAGAATGAATTAATTATTGATTTATCAATGAGGCTTCATGAGTTGGTGACCTGTACCCCTGTTTAATCAATTAGCAGTAGCAGGTTATATGGTGTATACTAAATTCATTTCTGAAGTACAAGAAATATTTATCATGTTTTATTTTGTATTGATGAATTAAAGAGAAACTGACCTACAAATAATCAGTTTCTCTTTTTGATTGTATTGATGATTAGTATTTGTATGGATTTTTTTATCATCAGTTGGATGCCTCCAGATAAACATGTAATATTTACCTGTTTGGTACATTTTGTGTCTATATATCTACCACCAGACTACCCTCAGTTACTGTACATTTAGAAGTGTGTGAAGTGTTATTATGTCTTCAAAGGCTGTCAGCCAAATGGTGCTGCCTACTGGATATAGATAAAAAACAACTCATATCTTTTTACAGAGGCTTGGTGTAAAGCTTCTGTGTAGATAACAGCTGATTTCCATTCATTCAGATAAGAGAAATCTATATGAAGTTAACCTTGTCACGTTTAACTTGAACCCAGTTAATTTTATTTGCCAGTCACACTGATATTACCATAAAGAGGTGATAGGACCCCAATAATNTCCCTTTTATCTCCAAAACTGGCAGAGATAGGTCCATAGTTACTATTGAAGTTGGATAGGAAGTCATATACTGGCAATTTACTGTGACCTTGAAATTGACCTTTGACCTACCTTACAATGAACTTAACTTTGATTGCACCATTTTTAGTTATATATATTTTTTGCATATTTTGAAAATTCTTGTTGATTGCATTTTTACAGCTTGTCAAGCACAAGACTGGTGGCTGCACCCCTTATTTTGTGTATGTGGGGGTCTATACGAATGCGCTTGCTCCAGCTGGTGGTACAATATTCGGAGGCGGTATCGCCTCTCTGATCCTCTAGTTTTATTTGCCAGTCACACTGATATTACCATAAAGAGGTGATAGGACCCCAATAATTGTGTAAAGATCAAGGTGGATAAGCACTTTTTTATCACAGAGGGCCTGATTCTTTTGATAATGAATACTAATGATATGATATCAAATCTTCCCTGAACTGGCAACATAAAGTACCTTTTTTTATCGAGTAGCCACTGCAGAATTTTGTCACCTTTTTTTTTAACCGAACACAAAGCGGTTATCAATAAAAGATAAAAATAGGAAAAACAAATGTTGCCGGGAGCAAAGTCTGTCTATTCTATGTTTTAAAATTGGTCCCCACTGACTTCAGAACAACACAGAAAGATAAATGATGTCTGTGGAGATGATCTTGTTGAGAGTATGCTGAGAGGCAAGTCATTTCTGGCCCTGTCATCCCATAAATGTCATTATCAACCCACCAGAGACATAAGTACAATCCCATTATGTTTTGTATAGATCTGTGTGTCTCTAGAGAGCTGGGGTAGGGGGGATGGAGACCATGTGTAGATCTAGCAGTAAGCTAGTGAGTCAAGGTGGTAATTTAGTCCAAGACTATTTTATATTATTGTACTTTTTGTGATAAGTGCTGCATCTTGTAAGTGTTTGGGTTAATTGTCGGTATATTTGAAAACAGAAGAGCCCATAGATGTAAATTATTATTGTTATTATTATTATTATTATTATTGTTATTATTCACTGATGGCTCTCTCTATGCTGACTGAATACAGACCATCATTGTCAAGAACTACACTTAGTAAATACCAGAATGAAGGTTGAAAATGAGAATTATTTATTGTGAACCATCATATTATTGTGTGCTATATTTTAGTCATTGTTTGCCAGCAAGTCTGACTTGATCCAGATTATGTGTCTGCGTTAGACTGTCTTACTATATCAACCAGAAGGAATTACATAACCCAAGGTGATACATATTATGAAAAATGTATGAGTTGCTTGTGTTCATTCAGAGAATCCGGGTTTGTGGTTTTAATACGTAGATCAGTTATTTCTGAGGTGGTCAATTACAAGGCAGTCGTTTTAAGAATGAGTTAGATGTTTGGGAATTTTCCAATTTGTTTTAATTTTTTATGTGCTCAAATTTTGCAGTTATGATCACTGCTTACTTCAGCTGCCAATAATTATTATGATGACAACATTGTATTATTTTTCATTAATCAAATATTTCTTATCATCAAGCCAAAAAAGGCTGATACAGGAGTACCATAAATTTGATAAATGTATTAAATCAGAAATGTGCCATACCAGGTATTTTTATAGCCATTAAGACAATGAAGCAATATTGCAACCTGAATTTAGACGTAATAAATCACTGTGCTCAACATATTGGTATCTTTATTGTTCTAATACTTCCTTCTGCCCGTAGACTACTTTCATAAACTTGAACTTTACATCAAGGTATTAGGACTGTCTCCTGCCCCCTCTAGTTACCAGGTAGCAGGAACAATATTGTTATTGATTTAGCAATTCTTGGTCTAGTTACTATTCACACGGTGTATTGTTTGAGAGAATAAAGACCACTGCCCTATACAGGTAGACATAAACAAATTGGGTCAAGACTTAATACTGACCTGTGTATTTGTAACCAGGGTCCGGGGAAGGAAAGTTTACACTCAGAAATTGGAAACTCTTGTTGGAGTATTTGAAGGAATAAATCCTTTTTATGGATATACTGAATAGTGAATGTGTGGAAATAGGGGCAGTTTGTATATATTGTCACAGATTTAGGAATGGATTTCAGTTTTTTTCAGTTTAATCAGTTTCAAGATCTGCTGGCCCTAGAATTGTGAAGTTGGAATGTTTACTGATCTTTCATGAATTTAAATTCCACGATAGCTGTACAGAAGCTGGGTACACCATGCTCTGCAAAACGACATTTCCAGCAAGTCTTTGTCTTAATTCACACAAGTGTTTGCCCCCATTCAGAATAGGGGACTAACTAGTCCGAGGGTTAAATATGGCTGACCCACTTGAATACTTTCCCACTGGATATCTATTCAGTGTCTATTAGCAGATTAGATGGCAAGCTTTGCAGTGAGTCGCCATATTTGACCCTCGGACTAGTTAGTCCCCTATTCTGAATGGGGCCCTTGTTTTGTTTGCTTGCTGACATGCCAACATATATATGCATACATCCACACTGTATCACACTTGTAGACAAAATATGACTAGCCCTAAGGGACAGTAAGACTCCACTTGTCTTGTCCAAGCTGGGAAATTACTAGCCTGTAACTGTGAGATAGTTCCCACCCAGCGTCATGTGCAGAAACCTTAGGTGGACATTTTATCTAAGGCACGGCCCAGGTTTGTAGGAATTGCGGCTCTTCATTCTCTGTGTAAATGTGCTTTTCATTGGGTGCGTGGTCAGTTACTCCCGGTGACAAGGTTCCCGCCTCTTACTGCACGCTTACGACGTCATGGTGCCAATATTACAGCAGAGAGAAAACAAGGTACTAGTAGTCTCGTAACCGTTATTGACTTATAAATTCTTGTCTTGTCACACAACCAAGCCACTATAAGGCTTCGTTCACATGCAATGTCTATTTTCTATTTTCTATTTTCGGTATGTCTTATGATCACGGTCTGTGCACTGAATATCCCGCGGCGTAATTACTGGCAGCGCGAGCCAGTTACTATAAGTTACTATAAGTAACTGGCTCGCGCTGCCAGTAATTACGCGGCGGGATATTCAGTGCACAGACCGTGATCATAAGACATACCGAAAATAGAAAATAGAAAATAGACATTGCATGTGAACGAAGCCTAAGTCGTAGTTTTTACTATGTGTGATAAGTGCAGCAGTAAGTTTAGTGACAGTACTGCACATAATAATAATTATTAACTTTGCTGGCTTCGTGAAGCCTGTTCATGCTTAGAGTTATCGTATGTTGCATAGTCAACGATATAAAGTCATGGGGTTCTCTTTGACATTGATTCCATCATCTAGTGTCATATCTTTTGTTTTCATGAAAAATGAATTACGAGTATAAATATATGAGTGCACTGACTAGTGCTATATGAATGTGAATGTAATCCCACTTGAAATGTGACCATACATATTTAGGAATTGCAGATTATTTCATAAGATAAGATAAGATATGAGACTGAGGTTAATTACTGTCAAAGTGGGACAAACTGACCACATCACTAGCCAATTTACTGACCACTTCCTATGGTCCTGTGCAGAGAAAACGAGAACATAGAATACACCATTATGAAGTTATGAAAAATAACCAGCTTATGATAGCATGTGTTTTGTCCTTTTTATTCATGTAAAGATGAAATTTCCAGTCCAGTTGTGACAGCCAAGGTTTATGCATACTCTCTCAATAGGATACTGTATGTGGTTAACTGTCTAACCATAGCTACAGCTTCACTGGGAGTGCGGTCTGACACTTCAGAAATCAAATTTCTTTTTTTTTTTTTCCTCTTCTTTTATAGTGTTGACTGAAGTACATGAGCTAAGTGTATTAGGCATTTCATTTTAAGTAGATCTATTTGAGAAGTCAATGATCCCCTATATATATTGATCCGTGACTCACCATGATAATAGCCGCCCTAAACAGTTTAAACGATCCTAAATGGCACTGTCAAAACTCGCCACAACACCTAATTATAAATCAATACCTGCAGCCGTCCCCTCATTGTCTGTGTGGAAGAGCTTTATTGGATTTTGTGGCACTGGGAAATCACGCTTTGGATTAGAATTCATGAAGGAACAGATGGAGAGGAAGCCGAGATAAACACTTGGTGGAAGATGGCTGAAAAGACAGCCTTGGTCCATGGTCAGAATTCATAATGGTTGTCAGCCAGTTTACAGTATAATGTATGTGATAAATCACCCCCCCCCCCCTCCTCCCTCCACCCCCATGTATTTGGACATGTTACTAGTATGTTGTTTGGGTCACATCTTGATACATGTCAGTTTGATGGGTGTTTTACCACATATAGGTGTCACTTTGATTACATAATACACAAGACATGGTATATATTTTAATAGTAGGTTGAAGTGGTAGAAATATGTGTGTTGCATGTTGTCTGGTCGTAAAGATAGTGTATGTATGAATTCACAGGAGTCTCTGAGGATTGTTTGTGAAATGGTTTGGTTTATATACAGAATCCATAACTGATAATTGCTCTTTGAAAATGTCATTTTATTGACATTTGGACCTTGGATTCAATAGTTTTCTCTGCATAAAACTTGGTATTGGCACATCAGAGAATTGGTGTATCACCAAGACAACACTATCTTAATTATTCTTGATATTATTTTATTTTATTTATTTATTTATTTATTTATTTATTTATCTTTATGGAGCAGGTTAGTGCCAGTTTTTTGGCTGTTCATATAAACTGAAACAGAAAATGAAGTCTGGCAGAGAGCAAGACATTTTAATGTTAAAAACACTTCCAGCTGGCCTGTAATGACACCTGTAGTGGTGTGGTCAGTGCACTCCTTGTTAGGACGCATTCCCATTGAAACCGCCATTCTACATAGATCGATCCAACTCCACAGGGACTATCACTGAATGCAATCAGCTTAACAGATTAACACGCCTTTTCTTGTTTCCAGCACTCTCCAATAAATCACCAGCTTTCTGTACTGAGTATTCTACTCAATGCCAGGAGGAGACATAGCATTCCTTGTTAGGGTTATGAACTGGTGAATAATGTACAGATTGTAATATATCAGCTTCCTGGGAAAATGCATCTGGAATGTGGGAAATCATAGAATGATGGGGCCATAATATAGTTATGGCCAACATAATATCTAGGCATGAAATCAGGTAGTTGAGAGACAGTGATGTAGAGAGTTCAAGTGGTTTGTACTGGGTAACAACAGGCGAGAATGTTTTCAAAATAAGTGGATGTTATCACCATGTGAGGTGTGGGACAGGACAGAGGGGGATGGTTGTTAAAACAGGGGCGGTTCCAGAGATATTTTCTGACAGTCTTCCAAATTTTCCTTCATTGATCCATCCTCCATTTATGACCGTCTTCCGACAGAAAAAAAAAGATGCCTGCCAATATGAAGCCAAAAAAATTTAACCAACTTCCTGAAGACCTAGAAGACTGCTTCAGTCTTCCCCTGTAAGAACATCACTGTTTCAGAATGTATTTCTAATTATTAGGTTTCACTTTTGTATTCTATTTGGTGGATCACCAACCCTGAGCCGTTTTTTCAACCTTCTTTCCTACTTGAAAGATCTCTCAAGTGAGAATAAGGGGAGTAAACATAAAGATTTTATTAGTAGACAAATATGTCAAAGGTTAAGATACAGCTTTCATGTCTGTGTTTAGATTTAGGTATCAAGAGGTACAAGGTCATCCTGCTAGACACCCTATCAGTCCAATAAACTGTGATTTATAAGTGCCATGTGTCCATATCAGCAACATAGGGCATTTTGTTCTTATCAGCCATTCAAAGGGGGGGGGGGGGGGGTGAGTGATATGATATGATATGAAGGCATTCAGCATTGATATCCATAGGCCTAAACTGGCTAGAGAATTCAGCTATGATCATGTTTGAGTTGATATCAAATGATGAGTAATGGTCAGATTTATCATTATTAAAAAGGGAGTCATATTCAGCAAATAGCAAGTTTTAAAAGATGAACCAAGTGAATAATCAGGCCCGTAGCCAGGGGGGGTTCGGGGGTTTGCTGGGAAAAGGTCCACTCTGGGTAAAATTTGACCTATGTACTAGTACTTGAGGATTTTATGGTAAAAGGTCCACTTTTTCAGAAAACGAACCCCCCCCCCTCTAAAATTGCTGGCTACGGGCCTGATAATAGTAGCCCCATTCACACGAGACACTTTCAATCGCGATTAGTGCCAAATCGCGATTCTATCGATGTAAAGCTTCTAGTGTGAACGCAGTAGAGACGTCAAATCGCGATTCAAATTAATCCTACTCGAGAGGTGGATTCTATCGATGTAAACTTAAATCGCGATATAAAATTTCCTAGTGAGAACGGGATCGATGTTAGCACCGGAAGTTGAGGACTTAAGAGGCGTGCACAGTTTCTATCGAAAGTACAATATAATACAATACAATAAATTTTATTTCATGTCGGGTATAAATTGAAACGAAACATTAGCTAAATACAGCTATTCGCCGACTGGAAAGTGAAAGAAAACAAACTGTCCACGCAATTTCAAGTTTCTTCGCAGTCAGCAAAATGGCCAAGAGGACGTTCTGGTCTGAAAACTCAGTGGCAGCATAACTAAATATTTGGGCCGATGAAAGTATTAAATGGAAAATAACAACGTACAAACCGAAAGCATGGTCTTGAAGGCAGCTACTGCGCATGATCAACAGGATATACCGTTACTCCCCTAGCGAGCGCAGTTGCAATTACCAGATCTAGCTAGGTAAATCGCGATTTTGTTTTTACATGTGTGAACGCAAAAAAGTGAATTTAGCTAAGCGCGTTAGAATCGCGATTCCCTTAATCTCGATTAACCATGTAGGTGTGAATGGGGCTAGTGTAGAGATTGTCTGGCTGTTACGCAAGAGAGGCTCTTTGAGGGTATTCAGAACAGTGGACTAACAGATCCACGGACCAAATATGGCCGACCCACTTGAATGCTTGATGTGTAATCCCTGCAGGGAATCTATTCAGTGTCTAATCAGGAATTAAATGGCAAGCTTTTTAGTGATCGTCGTATTTGATCCACAGATTTGTTATTCCACTGTTCTAAATGCGCTCTTCAACAGAGCTACTGTGGCAAAAGTGTATAATACTTAGTAACTGCCCACTCAATGTGAAAAGGTTCTTAGTTTTAACTAGGAAGGAATATGGTCTAGACATAGGTAATGATTCCGGAGTATGTATAGTATTGATGTAAAAGGAGAATACATATGACGTAAACTTTTGAATCGGAAAAGCATCTTGGGGCCGGCTCATATTTTCATCATTGGTTTACTCGAATCATTGGCTTACTGTATTATGATTATGGAGATTTGTGTGTCGGTCTTGTCCTGTATGGGGAATTTAAATACCAAGAATTCCAGATGAATATCCTGTTCATGTTGGACAAATCAATTGCGTAATCATATATATATTTTACCCAAAGACACAAATTCAATTGTATCCAGATATAGCACTCTCAGACTGTGTTACAAGATTGTTAATTGAATTTTAGATCAATTTGATAACTCATTTACTAGGGAACTGTATGTTGAATGAACTTAACTGTTTCTGTACATAAATAGAGAGACAGTGAATTTTTATTTCCAGTCTGGATTAGACAACTATGAGTTAACAGGTATGTACCAGTCAGTCCTGCTGTTATTTCCAGTCTGGATTAGACAACTATGAGTTAACAGGTAAGTACCAGTCAGTCCTGCTGTTATTTCCAGTCTGGATTAGACAACTATGAGTTAACAGGTAAGT